ACAATTTGACGAATTAACGTGTACCGAGTGGGATATATGATCATGGATATCCGGAGTAGAAGTTTTCCCCTGGCATTTCCCCTGATTCGAAAATCGTCAGCCACTGACTATTGGACGGTATCAGGACCACGGTTCTAGGGCCTGATCCTGTGGACTCGGCCAATAAGCATGCAGTTACACGTGCAGTTCCGTGGACCGCCAAAGGAGAAACATTCAGGTACCCGCCTCAGAATTGGTTATGATTGGTCCTAGAGACATGACAGGTCATTCTAGACTCCGACCCGGCCGGTCTTGGATTCAGGGTGCAACTCTCTTGACTTGTCTACCCTGCATCCGTCGTATCCGGTTTTCTGATCCTTCGTTTTAAAAGGTACGGAGTATACATCCATGGATCATATGATATAAATAACTATGTACAACTTCCTCCGTATTCTCCATTCATTGTGCACAATGAATTTATAGTGAACACAAATTCAGGAATCCATAAACGGGGGCCTATCTCCTTAATTCCTATCCTAGTCTAGCGTTTGTTCCTTTCCTTTATTCCTTCGGCTACTCCGTGTTGCAGGCAGCAACCTTCGAGTTTAATGACCCAGCGGTATATACGGAGAAGTGGCCGCATCTTTCATTGTTGGCATGCGAGATCCCGACATGCCCATCTAGGGAAATACCCCTAGCATTGTTTCAAGCTTGCTCCGCGAACCGGTTCATCATTAATTACCCGCGGGGAAAAGAGACCCCCTTAAAAAAATACAAAAAAAAAAACCTAAAAACTAGCTCGTTAGAAGATGAAGAAACAAGCCCCTCTATCAAGCGCTTGCACATAACTATCCACAATTGACAATTTAACACCCGTCGGCCAACCGGAGCCATTACCCAACTCCCGTAGCTTATCAGTAGTTTCCCAGATCTGCTCAATAAGCTCCATTGCCGAGTTCCGCTGTTGTTCCCGATAATAAGCTGTCATAGACTCATGCTTCTGTCGCACCCACATACGGTCTTCAGGGGATATAGCCTCCCTCGCAGCAATGTAAAACGGCTGAGGCAGCGACGAATCGGGCCCACAACCCGTTGACAGATGATCCATCAGCCCAAAGCATACATGCACCAAATGCTGCACGCGCGGCGAGCACGTCTGGTCTCGAAAAACCCGACGGGCAAGTAGCAAATGAGCAGTCCAGTAAAAGCACTCGGTAAGGATGTCTAGAGGCGTGCGCTCACATTGCGCCGGCGGGATTCCATTATATCCGGATCCCCAGGCGCGAAGCTCGGTGTCGAGTTGGAATGCTTCGTTGAGAATGGCGCCTTCGTGTATATTTGTCTCAAGCCCGTCGCTCACGTCACAGGCTAGATGCGCTATTCGTACTAGGAAGCACATCAATGGCTGTGGGCATCCTGTCATCTTGTGGAAGGAGGGCTCGGTGGTGTCCCAGCGACGCCGGTCGGGCTGGTTGAGTGTAAAGTTCTGCGGTGCGTACGGCCTTCGCTGTCGTGAGATGGCTAGCATTACATCGACCATGCCGAAGCGTTGTACTGCCATGCGTGCGATGGGGTTTTGCGGTATCTCGTCGAAGTAGCCTACTGCTTGCATGAGCCAAGAGGCGCATTTGATGTGGGGCTCCAGTACGCCATCTGCTGACTGTGCGACGATGATCCCCTGAAGAACAACGGCTGTGAGGAGCGCTTCTCGCTCGTGCTTGTTGCTAGCTACGATTGTACCTGCGTCACACGCGGCCTTGGTATCGATACTGAGCAAGTTTTGTCCGAGCGTTCTGAGCATTCTCTGCTGGCGCTTGGCTGCGAGATCAATGCTGGCTAAACCGAAGTTGAGCATATGTTCTGTCGATATGCAGACAATAGTCTCGAGAAGAATTGGTGATGATAGGGCTGGGATAGAGACCTGCCGGTAAGGGTTGTCCGGGCCATCTACAGCGGGGACATTGGATGAAACAAGGCTTATGTCTATGCAAGTATTCTCGATTAGATATTCCGATTCCCAAGTACACGGCATGAAGTCACGTACAATATTCCCAGGCAGATCTGTCTTCTGCAGACTCAAAACATGTCTGTGCGAAAAGTGCCGAAGGTCGACCTAGTATGTTTTGTTCAATTGCTCGACAGGTGTCTTTGCAGCGAGGCTTATGTCTTGTCAGTGTTGGCTCTTTTGGTCGAACCCATTTCACGCCCGATGAATATTGACAGTCCAAATCCCGCGAAGCACAAAATGAGCAAATTGGCTGTTGCTCATCACATTTATTGTGCTTCTTTCGGCATTGCAGACATCCTTTTCCAGATCTATATCAGCACCTACACTTCGCCTTGGAATGAGCCGCCATACCAGTCCGTGACCGTGAAAACTTGTCGTCTCGAGGCATTTTGCCGATCAAACAAATGATCCACCTCTGGCTAGTGAGAGGTCCACAAATAATATAGTAGGGGCATGAATTATATGAGTCTTGTTTCCCCGCAGCCTTATCTATATATATGATGGTCACATGATGATTGGCCAATTATATTGCTATCAACACTCGGGACAAGATATATTGCAATGACACTAGACCAGACTAAATCTATAAGATACCCTAAGATTTTATGTATCGTGATGCACTGAAAACGAGAATAAGGGGAACGAGAGTTGGTATAGTTAATTCGTTTGAAATTGCTGGGAAGACGACCATCCCACCTACATACATATATATAGCGCCATTGAGTGACCATATAGCAGCGGAAAAGTCTTGTCAAACACGCGTAAGGAGCCATTCATTCCGAATAATTGAAAATCGAGTGACAATTTAACGAAGCCAATTATGAGAAGGTACGATAGAGACTGATTTGCAAAGAAACCTTTATCCCAGAACCTCCTGAATGACCCTAACAGTTCGATCGACTATCAAATCAATCTCCTCACGAGTAGTATTGTAAGGAGGCGCCAGAACAATATGATCTCCATTAACACCATCGATACCACCATTTCCGGGCATCAACGAAATCGCATGAGCAGGCTTGAGACCTGTCGTGTGCAGGGTCCAAGCAAGCGCCTTTGAAGGCGGATATGGCTCTTTCGTCTCTTTATCCTGAACAAATTCCACCTATAATCATGTTAGTGAAGACAAAAAATAATAACAATGAAGAAAACTAACAGCCCAGAATAATCCCCTGCCTCGAATATCACCAACGTGGGGGTGACTATCCAAACGCTCGTGGAGACGCTGACCCAGATATTCTCCCATTGCTCGCACATTCGGTAGCAAATTCTCCTCTTGTATAATTTGCTGCACCTTATATGCAGCCGCACAGGCGACCGGATGTCCCTGGTATGTCTGACTGTGGACAAAAGCGCCGGTGCCCTTGTTCAGGGTATCGACGACGTGCTTGTTGATGAGTAACCCTGCGATCGGAGCATAGCCAGCGCCGAGTCCCTTGGCGATAGTTTGGAGATCAGGGACGACGTCTTCTTGCTCCCAAGCATGGAGGGTTCCGGTGCGGCCCATGCCGGACATTACTTCATCTAGGATGAAGAGCGCCCCGTGTCGCTTGCAGACGGCTTTTAGTGCCTTGAGGTAGCCGGGCAATGGGGGGACACACCCAAGTGTCTATAAAAAGAATTAGCATATTTAGCATGGCGGGTCTGTGTTTTACTCACAGCACCTGGCATTGTCTCGGCAACGAATGCACAGACAGTGTTGGGGCCAAGTCTTTGGAATTCGTCCTCCAGTTCTTGGGCCAGTCTTGCAACGTAGTCTTCGGTACTTTCATTGGTATTCATTCTGCGGTAGGGATAGCATTGGGGCACGTGGTGGATATTCTTCGAAAGTAGACTTTCATAGATCCTTCGCCGGGAGGCGTGGTATCCAACAGCAAGTGACCCGAGGGTATTTCCGTGGTAGGACGACTTTCTAGAAATAATATTCACCCGCTGGGGCTCTGGGACGGGCAACTCTGTGAAGTACTGAATAGCCATCTTCACAGCGGCTTCGACGGCCTCGGTACCTATTGTGATTTTAGTAACCAATCGTGGTTCAGCATAGACAAGTTTCTCACCCGAGCTCACGATGTAGGCACGAGACATCTCGCCCCCGGTTGAGTCTACCAGAAGCTTTGCCAAACTCTCCGCAGCACTGTTGGTGAAGTACATGGAATAGCAGTAGGGAACTTTCTTCAGTTGGTCCAAGATGGCTTCGTGGACACGCTCATCGCTGTGACCCAGACAGGATACAGCTGCGCCGCATGTCGCATCCAAAATTTCCAGGCCATCCTCGGTTATGAGGTAGCTTCCTCGACCGCCGACAATGTTCAAGGGCTCATTTCGAAGTTGGTGGTAAAGGACTCCGCTGGATGGTTTGATGCCAGTGGAGTTGACCAGCTTCTCGGATGGGGTAGGCACTGAAGCTGCTGCCAATTCTGATGTGTAGTCACCCATTGTATGGATTGCGCCGAAGGTTTGGTGCGAAAAAAAGAAAAAGGAAGAATTAAGTGATGCTTTCTGAGGATGTTTGATTTGAACACTACATTGTGCTGGGGGGAATAGGAGCCATATATAGACTCACCCCGCCCTGGCCAAGAAATAAAAATGCAGAAGTAGCAAACTGATATTTGAGAAATGGTCCGTACATAACGCCGTGATTGGCAAGTCTCGCCTTGTCGTACAGCTTGAACTTCATACTTGGCCACGATAAACTATTCCCAAAGAGGAAATATTTGTCGGACCCACGTTCGTTGACCACGTCGTGGATCTGATAGGCTAAATAGTTGATGGGATAGAGCTTATTGATAAGAAGAAAAAGACCCTGGGGATCGTTGCTTGTATTTTAACTATTTCCGTGCCGGTTACACAGATTCACTAGAAAATACGAGCTATAGAGGGGTATCGGAACGATCTTCGAGTCCGAAGACCAACCACAGCGCAGACCTTATTGAGCGATCAGATAGAGAAGGCAACAAATAATCCTGAAAGTTATACCCGTGGACTATGATGCAGCTACCAACCAATAGCCCGCTTGTCAGTCAGACCGCCTCTCATTGATATGCCATTCGATCGTTCTCCGCAATCCCTCTTCCAGCCGAATAACCGGCTCCCAGCGCAGAACTTCTCTTGCCAACGTAATATCTGGCCTGCGCACAGTAGGATCATCCACCAACGGGGGCAGATACGCAATAGAGATCCTACACCGGCCAGTCATCTGTGAAACAAGCCCGATCACAAGTTCAGCTAGTTGCTGGATAGTAAATTCCCGACTATTACCGATATTCACCGGGCCTTTACTATAGTCGCTCTGCATGAGCGCATACAATCCCTGCGTACAGTCGGTGACATATTGAAACGAGCGAGTTGCCTTGCCGTCACCGGTAATCTTTAAATCCTCGCCGGTCAATGCAGATGCGATAAAGTTCGACACGACGCGACCGTCGCTTGCGCCCATTCGTGGTCCGTATGTGTTGAAGATTCGCGCGATTCGAATGTCGACGTCGTGTTGCTCTCGGTAGGCGTAGCAGAGGGCTTCAGCAACGCGTTTTCCTTCGTCATAGCAGGCTCGTGGGCCGAATGGGTTCACGTTACCCCAGTAGTGCTCTGGCTGGGGGTGAACGGAAGGGTCGCCGTAGACTTCTATTTTTTATGGGCATACCTTTAGTCAGGTACATATCGAGGGATGGAGGGATGTGCATCGCTAACCTGAGGTGCTGGTATGCAGAATACGGATATTCCTAGATCTCGCAAGCTCTAACAGATTTCGAGTACCGAGGAAACAAGTGTTCAAGGTCGATACTGGGTCTTCTTGATAATGAACTGGGCTTGCTGGGCAAGCTAGATTGTAGATCTGGTCGACTCCTTCCAACTCTGGAAGAGGATCTTGGATATTGTGCCTGGTTCCTAGTCAGTGTAAGGTTGGCTTTCACTAGTACACAGATAGATTTCACTTAAGAAATTGAAACCGAGAATGGTTTTCTAAATGGCACAAATTTTTCGATAAGCCACTCTGGAAATTGTCAAGCCCAATCACAGTATGGCCATTCCCAAGGAGGAGATCAACAAGGTTCGATCCCAAAAAGCCCGCTGCCTGCACATTAAATAGGTTATATGTTAGAGATCTGGTGTAATTGTGTTTTTGAATATTACTTACCCCTGTCACTAGCACTTTGAACGGGCCTTTTTTATTATCCATAGAGCTTGCTGCTCCGTCCTTGCCTGTGTAGAATTTGATAACGAAGGAGGAACGTAGAAGAATCTAGCCCAAAAGCTTTCAAAGTGAAACAACTTTTTCCGGGGCTGGAAAAAAATGAAGTCATGCGATCTACTCACGGTATTCTGGACAGAGATCCAACTATTGGGATTGTGGCTGTATTTGGCCAATAAACAGGGAATAAACAGGGACTAGCTCCTTGCATTTGAACTCCCGTGTGACTGAGATCTTTTGCTGCACTTGAGTAAAATACAGTCTAACGCAAATGGTATACACTATTGAAGATCCCAAATGAATAAATAGTAGGGAAAGTGTCTGCGTATGGACCTTTTGTAGCCAGCCACCTTCTTTTACCGTGGCATGCACTGTCCACAGCCACACTTTATTTAACCACCTGGACAACATGAATGAATTACTGATGAGTTGCGTCAACCATTGGATCTTTGATAAAAGGACCACATAGAATATGTACATGAAATTATCAATCCTTCAGAATGTTATTAGTCTACAATTTTCTTGATTGATATAGCACTTTGATCACCACGCTAATAGAAGCATTACAGGTTTAGCCGACTGTCGAGGCTTCTTTACGAACATGATCTCCCTGTGTCTCTTTCCAGTTCATCTGGTACGCAATCACGAAAGTAAAAGACACGTGATCGTCTTTCTATGAGTCAAGCTATACGATGAATGTAAAATATGATCGAAGTGACTATAAGGTTGGCCTCATTCAAACCGGGGCCTCCGTAGACCATACAAGAGAAGATGAAAAGACGCTGGATGGGATGTAACTTCAGGGAGGATAATTGGATAATCTGACACGCCATTTGTCGTGGACCCTGGTAACTCGAGGAAAATTGTAGTTGATGATGATTGAAGTGACCTTGTGCTTTAACTTTGCATATAAGAGATCAAGGCGACTAAAGGCTGGCGATTCCCTAAATAACACAACAGAAGGTAGAAAGACACCGGGTGGGATGTAGACTCGGATATGCCAAGTTTGCATGCTATCTGTCGTCGCAGGTAAGAACTGGGAAGACCTTCGGTTGGTGGAAATGGGAGTCACATTGTGCTAGAGCAATGTAGGTATTACGTGTTTTATATGGCTTCATGCGTGGAGAATAATTACAGATCATTGGTGATAAACTTTATGGAGACCTACGTCGTCGAGGACAGAGGCCGCATAAGGAGCCGACCATCTTTTATATATGGATGTCATATGGATATTTTCTGTTTTATAGGGCTGTTTAACATCCATGCAGGTTAGTATGTGAAAAGAATACCATAAAAAAAAGGTTAGTGTCCTCCATAGTTATCTCCGCCAAAAAGGAGGGGGAGAGGGGTGACTCACGACTTCGCCCCGTAAGACAGAACATCTTCAGACTAAGTGGGTTGTAGGACTTTACCCATCGCGCAGAACTGGGTAGAAAACCATTATAACTAATCTATCAAGTCATCAAGCTGCCCAACCTTCTTTCCAAACCCAACATTTCACCGAGATGGCTTCATTATCCGTCTTCCCGTTCCACGTGGGCGAGGCTTCAAACGACCGTGTCAAGCTTATCCCCTTCAATCCAGAACAACACTGCGAAACCTTCTTCAAAAAATCATCGGCCCATCCCGAGATATACACACACTTGCCAATACTACCCTCGGCCTCGGCAACGGAACTCAAATCTCGATTCTACAGTAATTCCACAACCCATATCCTCTCCTTCGCCAACCCAGAATCATTCGCTTTTGCAATTATAGACAAGACAAAGCCGCCATCCCCGGAAGACCCGGAAGGTGAACTCGCTGGCACTGTGAGCTTTATCCGCACATCACCGACGAATCTATGCACGGAGATTGGATTCATTGTCATCCTGCCTCCGTACCAGCGAACCCATGTGGCAACTAATGCCGTTGGAATCGCTCTACAGCTTGCCTTTAAGTCTACAGAGAAAGGAGGCCTTGGATTATGCAGAGTACATTGGTCGGCTAGTACGATGAATCTTGCTAGTTCTCGACTTGCGCAGAGGATGGGATTTGAGAAGGTTGGGATCATACCTTGGCATATTCGGTTCGTAAAAGGGAAGATACATGGAAAAGTTGGAAATGGTAGGGAGATACCTCCTGGAGGTGATCCTGAGGATTTGTGGAGAGATACACTGAGTCTTACTCTGGGATGGGATAGGTGGGAAAATGGCGCGAGGGAAATGGTGGCGAAGGCTATGGAGAGATGAGCAGATGTCACCGCTGACTATACGGAGAACGGTTGCTGGTAATCACCAATGTGAACCTCGGAAAACCAAGAGGCTGGGTGACGTTTGGTGTGGGCAAGAGCTTCCAGCAGCCAATCGAGGCGCAATGAAAGACATGAGAAGTCAATGAACCCTATTGTTCAAGATATCACTTTGTGATCCGTCCACAGAATAATAAACGATTAGAATACCCCACGTAGCAAATTCTAGCTTGCCTGGTTGTCGATGGTTGCGTCAGACTTCTCGGAATCGGAGCCCGGAGTACTCGGATGGCTTCTCGACAGCCTGGGATTCCTCATCCGCAACCACGGCCTTAGGTACCTTTTTCTGCTTCTCACGGGGGATGAGGAGGCCGCGACTACCTTCGCCTATCTGCTTCTACCTAGAAGTGAAGAAGACGGTCATTACCACGAGGAAAACGTACTAGGCGCAGAGAATGCTAAAGTTGCGCCAAAGGTTACTATGGCTTAAGGACATAGAAGCTAGGTATTGGTCACCAGTAACGCTGGTTGCTCCAGGAGGCGCACCACGGACGCCGGTGCATACTTGTCCGCCTCCTGTTTCGGGGCTATATCCTTCGCCATTTGGAACCAGGAATGGGCCCACAGAAGGAATCACTTGGTCGTGGAACTCGTTCGCGAGCAATGCTTCGAACGCGTAGGCTATAGGGTCGATCCAGAAGAACCAAACGAACCAAGGGTGCATGTCGGGCTTGGGAATCATATATCCTGCATATGTAAAGGCAGCGACGATGGTGAATCCAGAAGCTTTAGTTGCTGCGTCGAAATTCGGGAAAGCGGCACCGATGAACCGGAACAGCTGTGTCATAGCTAGGGCCTCTAGTTCAGTTAGTGTTAACGCTTTATCTAGCCGGGGACAACCAGATTATATGATATGCAGTAGCTGAGGGTGAATAATGTGAAGGTTTTTTCTGTTTAGATATCAATAAGCTCTTCCACGTAGACAATGTTAGGCACCAAAGAAGCCCGCAAGATACGAAGAAATTGACTGTTATGTATCTTCATCAAAGCACTTCCTCCTTCAGCTGCTTCGTCGGCCATACGGCTCAAATGGCAAAGCTCCGGCAATAATTGCCATCACAATGTAAAGGGCTGCGCATATGTATATCGGGACGGGCGTGCTGGACTGTTAATAACATAAGCATTTTTTTCAAGAGAGCAAAGAATAAATCCCTACATTTGCGGCCTGGCTGACCACAGCACTGACAATTCCCATGATCCGATTGAGCGCAATAGCAACGCCATTTCCTGTGCCCCGGTGGGCGGAGGGGAAGACCTACTGAGTAATGAGATATGGATGACAGAGTTAATGAAAGTGAGCAGGCAAATACCTCAGGCGTATAAGCATAGAGGGTACCATAGTAAATATTCAAGCAGAAGGAAATAGCGCACGTGAATCCCACATTTTGACTCTGGGTGCGCACTTGCGTATAACAGAAGAAGAAAACCATGGTGACCATAGCTCCGATGATCATGGTTCCCCGACGCCCCCAGAACCAGGGCGAGCGACACATAAATCCGGCTAACACAGGACCGAAGATACTACAGGTGTTGTTGATGGCGTAGTTTCTCCAGGTGATATACGGGCTGGTCTGTCCAAAGGATGCGCCACGCGATGCAAGGTAGGTGGGGAGGAACACATTGTAAAGCGGATAGGCGAGGCCAATTAGGAGCCATGAGAGCCAGATCAGAGTCGTCGATAAGGCCAGTTTGCGAGTTGCGAAGAGTCCACGAAGATGGAAGAACACTTCGCCCGGGGAGATGAGCCGCGCAAGCCAACCAGACCCTGGAGCCCTGCAGTGAGCAATTTGTCCGCATGCCTGAAGCTTCTCAATGGTGAGGCTGCATGGGCGGTTATATCGATTGGCGATGCTGCGTAGAACGTGTACCGCTTGCTCGTCTTTGCCTTCGGAAATGAGGAACTTGGGAGTTTCTTCAAGGCGGATGATTGTTACACGGAGGATCGAGAGAACAAACACCAAGGCGCCGGATGCATACCACACATAACGCCATCCCTGGTTATTTTCACGAGTACATGTGGCTCCGTCGCTACAGGAGAAGTTGGGAAGAAAGGCCCAAGCAAACAGACCTGCGATAAGCTGACCCAGACCTAGATACTGCGAGTCAGTTCAGACTTTCGACGGAGGGTGTACTGAGGAGTGTAAGCTCACCCCACCATGCCGCCATCAGTGTCAACAGCCACTGTTCCTTGCTGGGAAGGTATTCGAGAAAGACAGTAGTATCGAGAACCAGGTTTCCTCCAGCACCAAAGGCACTCAAGCAGACAAACAAACCCAAGGTAACCCAAGTGGGGGAAGCCCCAGCAACGATGGTAAATATCGATGAAATAAGCAGGGAAAAGTTGAAGGCGAATCGCCGGCCGATAATGTCTGCCGAAAAGCCCCAGAAAATTGCACCCACCAACATACCGACATAAAGCGCGATGGTGAGCCCGGTGGTATATGATGGGTTGAACTCCAACCTGGCCTGGGTTGAAATAATCGACTGAATCAAGGTGATGAGCGAGTCAACTGCATATCCGAATCCGTTCAGGCAAAATAGCTTCCAGTGGTGTGGTGTGAAACCAATCTCATCGATGGTCTACAGAGGACAAAGGGCCTCGGGTTAATTGGCTGTCTCATTCATGGGCACGAGGATATTGATTTCCCACATCATTGATAATCGTCATCTTGGCAGCAAGGACCTCGTCCACCTTCTCCCCCTGCAAGAGATCTTGGTCTCCATTTCGAATCGATCTTTCCTCCGCCAGCAACGAGTTCGTCAGATCTTTGTCCTTGCCCGCTGTACTTGTAGGGACAACTGAGTTGGAGGAATGTTGGGCATCCATCTTCAGCAAGGTTGTGGTGTTTATCTAGATTTGTCTGAATTATGACAAAAGAAAAGACACTGTTGCAGCTAGTCAAGAGAGAATGAAGGAAAGCAGACACGGGATTTTGACTCCACGAGGGGCAGGGACCACCCCTCAGTGGAATTAGCGGCAAGTACTAATTTGGATTATGTATACTTCTTCATTAGCTTGGATATGGAACTTATCGAGGTCGATCTCGAGATTCGAGGCCATGAAGGTGAGCGCTGACGATAACCTCATGGTGACCTTGATTATCTAAGACCATATGTAATCCGTGCCACTGAATTTTAGAAGGAACTTTTGATATGTTAAATTCTAGCCCGTTCAAGGGTAATTTTAGGATATTAGATGAAATGTTGCAGAGAGAATGTTGCAGAGAGTTGGCGCACGCGCCTTGACGCGCAGTTATGACTCGCGGAGAAGGACGCGGGAAAATGACGCTATTCCCGATTCGCACGGATCTTACCAATGCGCTGAGATACGATGCTGGAGTTAGGGGCATATCCGAATAAAGTCTTGTTTATTAAAGGGACCCAGCCCTGTAGGTATTGGGTTTTAAAAGGGTTGATATTGCTTAGCTGTAGGAAACGAAGGGAAATATCTCAAAATACCCCTTATACTCGACACAGACCCGGAAACTGTCCTTAAAGCAACTACAATATACTTTGGCTTGTCTCTTTCCCCCCCTACAATCTGCAAGACTTTCGATCGTCCTCTTTGGATACATAGCCTCACGGTTATCCAAGACGGTGAAAACTGGATGGTCATACACGCTGCCGTGTTCATACCAATGAAGCACATCAGCCAGGATCTTTAGGCAATAATGGTGGATATGCCCCAAGTTATGGTATATCTGAGATTGCTTGGGCTTTGGCAAGCTTAATTGGTCTGTTAGAGTTTGGTAAATTTTACGCGATAGCTGGTTGGGGAAATTTTGGATGGGTGCTGAGTATATTGTGCTTCGTTGCTGTTATACCCACTTTGCCGTTTGTTGAACGTTGATGTGATATATAACCCTCCAGTTCTTCGTCGCCAATAGATTTATGACTTGAACACAAGGTTGACCGGAATATGTACCCCATAAATGTGATAAAAATTGAAATGTCAGGGCCTCACCCTACGAGATTTACCCACCGACTATAGGGTTCCACGTGAGGTCTACCGGCGCCCCGAAGAAATGCGACCAATTGGCCCATCTCGTCGATTGATATTATAGCGGTAAATAATGAGTTCTACGTAGTGTAATTAAGGTGATTACTCCGACCCCATTCCCGGGCAGAGTGGATTGTTCATATGCAAATTGATATACCCTAGCCTGGGGATCGTTAGCCTTTTTAGGTAGTCGATGAGACATAGGGTGGCCAAGGGTGATAATGCTAATGAACTTATTACCTATACATTCAGACCCAGGTATTTGACATAGACTGGAATCACTATGCTGAGCCTTGTGTAATCTGGGTCAACCCCCGGGGCCCCACGTTGAGGCTCGGGTCGATCTCGCATATTTGTTTAGGGACATAACAATGACTTCCGACAATTAGGTATCCTTTTGTTGCCGATATCTGTCATATTGAGAACTGGAAGGGCAGAGCCATCATCCTTTAATTGCATTTGTCATTCGAGTTTGTGTTCGTAGCACGTAAGATACCAAGGGATGGCGTCTTAGCACGTAACCGTGAGAAAAGCCCAGATCTGCCAGCAAACTACTTTAAATCCACAGGTCTTCCCTTGGCCTCAGAGATAGGCTTAGCACTAGCAAGGCTGGCCCGCCCTTTAGTGTGAAAGCTTGCAGTTTTAAAACAAATTGCGTGAGTATTGCGCAAGATTACACCGGAGAATCGCCATGTCTGTATGTTAGGTACCCGCTAGATAAACCTATAGAATGTGATTAACATTAGTTTCGGACTTAATGACTATCTATCTCCTCAACTGCCGCACCCCAAAGTGGGATGATTGTAGGATGTCTCACTGACGCGATTAAAACGTCCGCTGAGGACATATTTCGCTAGTCGTATAAGGTCAGTAGAGTATCTGTTGATTTCCACCGAAAAGTAGCCCCCTGGGACAGTTATCAATCTGCGCAGTGGGTATTTCAGCGTCACACTCCCAAATCACGATGGGAACCACGGGTGATTCCCAGCGAGTGACGGCCGCCTCGGTACACAGCATAGATGCGGAGAACCAGAGCAACAACACCCAGGGAAATGATGTTGTAAATCCTGCTAGGTCATGGAAGAGTTATGTATGGGATACATGGGACCTTCCACCGGATCAACGCTGGTTGCTTTTTAAAGTAGATACTTTCGTTCTCACGTTCGCATCTATTGGTTATTTTTTGAAGAATATCGACCAAACGAATGTCAACAATGCATTTCTCAGTGGCATGGAAGAGGATCTCGAGATGTTTGGCAATCAACTAGTGACCAGTATGTGATTTTACCCTCGCCTAACCCACTTTTTCCTGTCTGTTCTTTTGCAAAAAGCCGGGCGGCTTTCTGACATTTGCTAACAACGAGTATAGGCACCTCTATCTGGACTGTGGGATATGTTATTGGTCAAATTCCGTCCAACCTGTTGTTAACCAGAATCTCGCCTCGATGGGTCATCCCCTCGCTAGAGCTAGGATGGGGACTCGCGACTATTTGCACATCAAGCGTCAAATCGTACAAGTCCCTGTATGCTTTGCGGTTCCTTGTCGGACTTTTTGAGTATGTCGACATCTCAAGATTATATTTACTGTTAGGGACCAGTTACTGACTCGGTTATAGATCAGGATTTTACCCCGGCATCCATTACTTACTGGGATCATGGTACACACCACGAGAAATTGGAAAGCGGGCTATGATCTTCTGGCTTGCCGGTTCAGTTGGCACTATGTTCAGCGGTTTCCTCCAGGCCGCCGCATATACAAACCTGAATGGGACACATGGTTACGCTGGATGTATGTGACCGCAATCCTTCTCGATTTTCCCTCTCCCAGCTTTTGGTTTCGAGAATTCTTCCCCTTTGCCTCAAGGTCAAACGAAAACAGAGGAAACAGCCACTGACTGATTAAAATAGGGCGCTGGCTTTTTATTATTGACGGTATCATTACGCTACCGCTTGCGCTCGCTGGATACGTATTCTTCCCTAACCTACCACAAAGCGGCAAGAAGACATGGTGGACAACGGAAGAGGAGCATCTTATGTCAATCAAAAGAATGGATAATATTGGACGTGCTGGCAAGAAGCCCTGGACCAAGGAAAGGGCGAGGGAAATCCTACTAAGTTGGCATACTTATCTTCTTCGTGAGTCGTACTCTACTATACGCCTTTCTCATCCTGAAACTATATTAACAATAACCCACAGCATTGCTATACATCCTCTGGAACAATGGCTACCTTCAACCTGCTATGGGCTATTGGCTGAAGAGTTTTAATGCCCACCCTCCTCCTGTCCCTGGGAAGAGTTACACCGTCGCACAGATCAATAATTGTGAGTTCGACTTCGGGTCCTTCATCTAACCACAAATAATTAACTCATTCACAAGTACCTCTTCCTACAACCGCTATTCTTATCGTGATGGGATTGATTTGGGCTTGGTTGTCTGATGGGCCATGTCGCGGCGCTCGCTGGCCATTTATTTACGTCGGCGCCGTTATTAATGTGAGTCAAGAGAGGCTACGGTCAAGTTATTTTCATACTACGGTAGCTAACGATTGCCTCTATTGTGCAGCTCATGTTCGCTGTGTTGTTGAAGACTTTGCCATTTTACACAAATATCAAGGGCCGTATGGCTGTTTATTGGCTGAGTAATATTGGCGTAAGTCTACAATTCTGTGAAGTTTTCAATCGTCACATATTAACGGTGTTTTTAGGCTGGTGCCGGTCCTTTAATCTTGAGTTGGATCAACGAGATCTGCTCTGATGATACAGAAAAGCGAGCGTTGCTTGTTGCTATGGCTAACGACCTTGCTTATGTTGTACAAGCCGTCGTGAGTCTCCTCCTCTCTTCCACTTAAGGACAATACTAACTAGCTTGAACAAAGGCACCCAATTTCGTGTGGAAAACTACAGACTACCCCCAAGCTCCTAAGGGATATACTTGGTCAATCGTACTTCAAGTATTGCTCAGTAAGAAGCCATTCCTCTTCCATCCGAGCCATGTTCCCTGCTGACAATATCTTTCCAGTCTCGAGCACCGCAATTGTTCAATTCCTTTTGCGGCACGATAAGAAAAAGGCAGCAAAGGCAGGGGCGGGTCTCTCAGCTGTTGACCCCCTCGAGTCATCGTCTATAGAGGGAGATACATCGGTAGCATCAAGAGAGGACAATGGAAAAGTGACGGGCACTTCTCGAGTCAAACAGGTTGGCCTGGATTAATTCAAGTCGGCAACCCAAGGGCTTGAGATGTTGGGGGTTAATCAAAACTGAGTGCAACATTTGGTATTAGGTTCTAGTCGAAAAATCCACGAAAGCTTCCCTCTTACTATTTGGACTCATTGAAGAGGTATGGTCGACAGTTGGCTACAACAACAGTCGCAATAATTTAACCACTGGTATATCGTATCCGCAAGTATCTCAGACAGATTCAAAGACGTTTACGTACCCTGATAGATACTGCGGGGTTCCCTCGACCTGCATATAGACACACGCGGTGTGAAAACCTAACAGTTCAGTTGGGCTCTAATTACCGCTCACCAACTCACGTCAAATACTCTCTTCCTCGAATAACCCCATTTAGGTTGATCAGATCCTATCTCAAGATGACATTCCCATACAAGCACGTTTTGCTCGTTGGAGCTACATCGGGGATCGGTAGAGCGGTGGCTGATCGTCTGATCCAGGCTGGTATCAAAGTGACTGCCGTAGGGCGACGGAAACAGCGTCTCGAAGAGTTCATTGAAAAGCACGGCGAAGAAAAAGCTTCCGCGATGGATTACGATGTCAGCGATATTAACGGGGCTCCCCGATTCGCCGCAGAGTCAGTTGGCGAACATTTCGAGATATGAATTTAGGGGAACATAGGGATTTCTAACGTGTGAAGTTGAAAACAGCGCAACGGCTCAATATCCAGATATCGACTGTATCTTCCTCAATCCAGGCACGCAACGGAAATACGACTTGACCGACCCCAAGGATGGGGACTTGAGTGATTTCAGAGCAGAAATGGACGTCAATTTCATCAGCTACGTTGCTCTAACTCAGGCGTTTACTCCATTCTTGATGTCCAAGTCGACCCCAACAAGCTTTATATTGTTAGTACACGATCTCCAAAACCATCGTGTTGATAGGACTTCTAATCTGTTCTGAATAGTACAACATCGCTTCTGGCTTTGGTGCCTGCACCAAGAATCCCCGCCTACTCAGCCGCTAAAGCTGCTCTGAACGCCTTTTTGTACTGCCTGCGAGACCAGCTGAGAGAATCAAGTATCAAAGTGATCGACTTGGCTCCACCCCTTGTGTCTAGTAAGTGGATATCTCGGTTCAATCAAATCCCCAAAGGCGGAATGGAGAATGAAGAGTACCATACTCATCATCATCTTGTGTAGCCGAATTACACGATTATATGGGCATTGAGAAAGGACGCAGCATGGGGATACCAGTTGAGGGGTATGCCGAACATGTCTATCAAGTATTGGAAAACGGAAGCGACGAGGTTATCGGTGGAGGCGTTGGACCCACGGAGGTCTTTCGAGATCTGAATGACAAGCGTCGCCAAGTCTTCGATGAGGTCGTCCCAATGCTTCGTGACGTATGACGTAGATTGAAAGCTGTGTCACCACGCCGTTGCTATCACTCGCTGGCAGCCATTTGGACGTTCAATAGTCAATCCAAATCAATAATTTCGTCTCCGAAAGGTATCACGATGGTAAATGTACAAAAGTAAAGGATAGATTTATATAATGAGATAGTCATGTTGTTGCTCTGATCCCGGGTCGCGAGTCTGCATAAGTCAGCTAAGATCAAGCATTCCATAAAGAAGCTAACTCACAAACCACCCCCATGGAATATTGCTGCTGTCATGTTTCGCCTGTCTGCCTCGACCATCCCAAACGGATTTGAGCAGGGAAATCGACATATGGTTAGCCACACCACCATGAGCCCGGATATGGTCGAATCGCAGAAGGACATAATGCCGAGCGTATGGGGACAAAGCATCAGCCCCAGCCATAAAGAGTGGCATAACCACCAACTCGATCAGACGACATTCGGCTGGGATTTCCGCTAGTGAGTCCAAGATGGCCGTCACTGAATTCTGTATCATTGGCGCTTCAGCCGGTTGGGTCACATCCAACAAGCGAGATGTATGTAGTATGCATGCGTGACGGAATGCCTCGGCAACTGCAGGCCAGCGGTGATCATCGTTTGGATAGCTGTCGGTTTTTAAACGCCACGAGTAGAGCTCATACCGGTAAGCGTTGAGGAGTCGCTCGTATTCTGGCGTTTCTATTTTGCCCGTCGCATGAGCCTTGGCATGCTCTATGACGTTGCCCATTATCAGGAACATATCGCGCGGACAGCCATTGACCCGCTCGAATTTCAAATCGCTTAGAGTGGCTACAGATCCACGAAGCTCGGGGGAGAAGCATAGTCGTCGTGGGTCTGCGAGTGAACGGATGATGTCCAGCCTAGTAGGATACGCGTCAGCACTGAAGTCTAACCCATAAACGATATGAGCCCACATGCCATGCGAGATTTCCCAAGAAAAATATAGTTCTTTCATCCTCTTTAGACAGGGTATCACACAAGCGCAACTGGTTGCAGATCGATAGGGCACCTGTAATATGAACTCCGTGGGTGGAGATGCCCGATTCGAAAATCTTCATTCAGATTATTAGTTTTCGTGTCAAGATCGGGTATCAAAGTGGAATATTGGCAACCCACATCCTGGAGTAAAAGTATCTGAATAGTAACGAAAATCCCATCGCGTTCATTTTCATCCAGCTCGCCAGATATCCCGTTTCGGAGGGTCTCCCCAAGCCAGCGTATAGCTCTGACCCGATATTCAACGGCCAAAGTTTCTCGTAAATATTCATCTTCCTGGTTTATTCCCATGTGGCATGCAGTAAGACCTAGAACTGCATACAGCAGGCCTATTTGTTCGTATGCTAGCGGCAAAACATAGACTTGATATGGGTTGTCCGCGCCAGCAGCTGGAAGCGCAATTTGATGTGGACATATGACCTGGTCATCTAAATATCCAGCAGTCAGTCAAGGGCTGTTTGTCACCAAGAATAAAGTAAACACACAATGTGTCAACAACATTTCCGTCCGTTCTAGCATTAATAAATCGTCCAACTCCACGGCTCGCCCTTCTGGCTGTGGCCAGGGATGGTCGAGACTTGGCAGTGGTTCGATATTCTGATCCACGCGCAAGGCAAAACCACTTCGATGCGGTTGATCAAACTTCTCATGGTTTGAATCTGGATGATCGGGTCCGATGGCCGGTTGAGTCGTGACAGCATTGTCGCGGCTCACAGCAGGAACCGCCCTATTTTTCCACTTGCCTCGGGTTGCTAACCCCGCAAAACGGAACTTGTCTGGATATCCTTTGCATTCAAGGCCTTTGGTGATGCATCTTTGACAAACGGGTTTTGTGCGGTCGCATTTACGGCACTTTTCACGGCATGTTATACAAGCCGGGCCTAGTCATCGTCAGAGCCGCATCTTCTCGGTGGCTGTTGCACAAACCTCCCCGGGGCATATCCCTTCAAGCTGAGTCACCAGGGACGATGGATAGAATGGATTTTCGTTGTAGTCGAAACACGATGAGGATATACGAATAGGTTCAATTACAGAACGTTGGAAAAGCCGGGGATAACGCCACGTGACGATATCTACAGCGTCACTTCACGCGTCTCCAGATTTATATATTTAGCTTCAAATTTCAAGTTCGGTTCCCTTTTCCTACGATATTCCCTACGCAAACTTCGTTAGTCTAGGCAACTAACTATACAGGATGACACTTAGTGGGCTTCGTAGCGTTCCTTTTTAGGTGAGAATACCTAAGGCTGGCATATTTTTAAGAATCACAGAAGCTCGCGGAAATTATAAGGCTGACTAGCCATATAGAATTCCCAGCAAGCTATAATGACTCTCACTGTATTTTTTTACTCTCTTAGTTCTTGGGGATTGGAAGGTTCGCTATAAGGCTTATTGGGTCCTTGCGCTTGATCTTCAATCAACGTAACTAATACGGCTCCTCAGTAAGGTACACAATCAGGCAACAGCATATAGCGTTTCATCTTGCTATCGACGACAACGCACACGGAGTACATGGAGGCATAGCGCCGACCTTATTCAATTGGGCATCCAAATCCGAGATGTTAGGCCAGTCCCGACATTCCTGTTAGGAAGCTCGCTGGACCCGAGGCTCTAATCTTTGTTGGCATGAAATATTATAATCAGGTGTATTGAAGCAGGGTATTATAATAACATGCCCGTGGTGGGTCGTTTGAGTTGGCCGGAAACGAATCAAAGACCAAAGCAATGAATTAGCCGCCCGTTATTGTCTGGGGTCCAAATCAACGTGACATGTTAGAGAATTAAATCCAGATCCCTCGATTGAAGCCATTGATTTGTGATTCGAGAGGAAAATACAAGTCAACTTACAAGGTTTATTGCCACATCGCCTAAGCGTCTCGACCTAGCTCGGACCCAAAAAAACCACTGACCGCAATTTTGGAATATTTGTATTCTTATTCTTCATTTACAACATACTTTGTGTGGTTTTGTATAGCTTATAGCTTCTGTATTTTGATAAGTTCAATTTCCAGTTTCTCATCATCGTGATAGGTAAAAAAAAAAACCTCTCACTTACCCCCCCCTCTCCTATAGACATGGAGTAAGCTACGTAGGTAAAGGACTGACGTGTTGTACATGCGGGGATTCGCTTTAGGTTAGCACATTAACCCGGGAATAACCTGCGCGCGACAATCAAAGATCCGAGACCCGTGGCTTTGGCGTCGGATAGGCCTAACTACGATAGACTAAACGTTGGTTTTAACCCTAAGGGGCCTAGTTTCGAGAACAAAGAACACAACACATTCAGCCTCCAATTTCCTGTCGTATTTCCGACGTTGAATTTTTTTTTTATAACTTGGCAGTGGGAACCGTGACTCGGATGATGGAAGTCTTTGTTGTCTTTCTAGATATGACTGGTTAACTCATATACTATCGCGGTTATTACACTAGTTCCCTGGCCAATCTAGGTACCGAAACAGTACTCGGTACTCGGTACTTCAAGATCACTATGAGTGTAGTAGCGGTCAATGCTCCTCAATATTCCATAAACTAGGTACATATGTAAATTCCTATTAAAAGGTATGGGGTGATATTCACTATTGGACGTCCATGGGCTCGCTAGTTTGGATCAGATTTAACAAGAGCATGGTACGTCGATGTATCAGTTGCCCTTCTCACATATATCTGTTGTATGCTCCTCGGACTTCATAAAACCATGGTCATGATGGGGTATCGGCGTGCATCATGGCCATTGAAAACTTTAACTGGTGCTTCCCTGATCATCTTCCTGTGGCTCATCGGTAATAGCATTCCACGGTGCATACACTGCACTGATGATCTGTCTGAAGCACACTTTCTTCCCGGCCCCATCGAGCTGAATGCGTGCTCCAATATCCCGATACCTAACGGCAACTCTTCGGTATCACCAACCCACGAAGAAACTCCTCAACGTCCCACCGTCGCAAAATCATATCCAAAATCTGCAAGACCCAATCTCCCGCAGGACTACCTCGTAACAACAGAAGAGTCAATATTTTGTGAGAGTCGTTTCGGTACGAAGTACCTCGAAACCCTCCGTGACTCCACAACAGCATACTGCACCACAGACTCGCCATCCGACATAACGTGCTTCCACAGTCAAACCACTAAGGGATATGTTGATTCATTATGCATAGCCCGTAACGCAATTTTCGATCCCGTCACAGCCAAATTCCGCCTAGGCTGCGAACTTGGCATGCTCCCCGATTCACACCAACCCTTCCTCGTCCCCGAATATGGCACATTCCCAAAATACATGTACGACACCGGTCCGCGTGTCATCATGGATAACTGGATAGAGCTTGACGACACCGTCGAGCCAAATGAGTCCGAAACACCTGAATATACGATATTGGTCAAGCGAGAGGGATCATCCAACATATGGCATTCCTTGTTGGAGATCTTTTCTATGTCCCTGACCTTGGACGTACTCCAAATGAGTCAATCGTCCGACTCGAAGCCATTCTTCACGCCCCCTGATACGTTAAATACCCAAGTTGTTCTGCTAGACGACCACGCAGACGGCCCAGTTTTTGATTTATGGTCTATTTTCGCAAAACGACCAATACGACGTCTCAAAGACCTGCCCCCAAACACAAGCCTTGAAAACATCATTCTCCCGCTTGCGGGTGGAAGCAATCCCCTGTGGCAGGCCAACCCCCCTCGGGAGGGTGCTTCATGCAAGAACTCGGCACTTCTGCATACATTCTCACGCCGAGTCTTGGATCACTACAACATTCCACTTCAGCACCCACGCTCACGCCAGGGTGATGATATAAGAATGACTTTCATCGACCGCAAGGAGACCCGCGTCCTACTCAATCACACCGAATATCTTGAAGATGTCAAGTCTTCTTTTCCGAGCATTACAATCCAGGAAGTCGATTTTGCGGCGATTTCGTTCATAGAGCAATTGGATATTCTGCAGCAGACTGATATTCTGGTCGGGGTCCATGGGGCTGGTTTGACACATGCCATGTTTCTCCCTCCACGGTCAACTGTTGTTGAGATTCTTCCCGCGCGGGTTGATTGTAGGGTTTATGAAAACCTGGCTTCTCTGTCGGACCATTCATATTTCAGTGTTCGGTCTTCGAAGGGATCGGATACATCTCCTAGGGTGGACTGGCATGAAGAGCAAGTCTCTTTGGATAAGGAGAGGTTTACGGATGTTCTGGATATTGCTTTGAAAGCCTTGTATAATAAGATTGCACGAATCCATGATAACTGAAACGAATATAGCTGAATATAACGAATACATACACACTTGAAAAAATCATAAGTAGACTTCACATTCATGGTGAAGTTCGTTTTTTGAAATATCCACAGCACCGCAATTGTGTTTGGCAGCAAGTATATACACTAGGGCTGGCAACTTTGAAAGACATGTATTTAAGACATTTTAAGATGGAGGGTGAAGTTCTACCCTTCCAAGGTTATCTTTCAACTCTATACTCTGTACAAGTATGGCTCTCGTACCAGCCACACATACCATCTTGGACTTCTTATTTAACATATCGTCATTGGACTGCTCATTCAAAATACCAAGGACTTTAATCCAACTCCTCGAGCCTTTATCACAATTTCACCATCTCACAAACCAACAAACCTGCAGCATGGCTCCTCTACCAACAAAAGCAAAGAGCCTTCCAAGGCTCCGGCAAAGGGTTTCAAGACCAGTGATGAGGAGTTCTTTTTGACCCCTGAACAACGTGAAGGTTGGTCATCTCTTACTAACTGGATTCAAACGCTATATGGTGCTATATATCACCTACCCTAGAGATGATTGAAGATACTGCAAATGTCATTTTAAAAAGGCTAGTAAAGATCAGGTTGTCGGCTATAACTGGGTGTATCGCTTCATTGCAAGACTACCCCCTAGGTTCAATTGTATTAACTAAAAGCTAGAGGAGAAATCGAGGGTTGATAGTAAGGATTACCGCGTATTACTGCTCTGGTTTAATCACCTTTCCGATCTGTTTAAACGGTATCAATTCCTACTGTATAAGATTTATAATTAGGATAAAACCGGCTACTAAATCGGCTAAAGGGAGTAACGTAGGGTTATTACCTCTCGTAAATCTAGCGATCTCGCTACTAGAGACTAATCGGAATCAATTACTGGCATTCAATATACCTCTACCGATAGCTAGATCGATAATAAAATTACCCTTTAATAGATATTTCCCTTTTATAAAGCTACTATTAATTAGTAAAGAGCGGTAGGCTAAGGCTTCTTTTAATAGATAACTATAGCTCCTATCTTACCTTCGAATTTGTCGATTTTTATATAGGAAAATATTATCCTATATTACTTTCTACCCTATATAATATACCTCTATTAACCTCTCGATAGCTAAGCCTTTTGAAGCTTAAAATATTATTTCTATGCGATAAATGACAAGATCGTTACATAGGGTAGAAGGATAAGTAAAAAGGCAAGGGCAAGGTTTTCATTCTTTAGGATTCTATATCCCCTCTTCCTCTAGACTCCGCTTCTTTCCAAAATTCGGCTCGACTTAGTATTGCCCCGGGAAATTTTGCTGTAACCAAACGAGTGCAATGTTTCCGTAGCTCATAAAGCCCGGCAAAATCAAACTTCTCCCATGAATGTGGTACTAAGCAAAGTATAAAGCAAGTGTCCTTCATCTTTTCAACCGTTTCAAATTGTGGCTCACAGTCAAAAGTGATTGATTGTGGGTGGGTTTTATCCTCACAAAAGACAGCCCAAACTGACTCATATCGACGTAAAAGTCTGCCTCGACGAATATGCCAGCAGAGGTCAGAGTTTGGGCATACGGCTTCCAGAAAAGGGAAAATGGAATTCAAGGTCGGCATCGAAAAGTCTAGCATAGTTAATACTCAATATCTCAAATCTGGGAACGGATCAATACTCACCATCTGGGTGATGGGAGACTTTCAGTATGATTAACTCTAACAAGTCCCCCTTTTTATCTAGAGACTGCCAGAGTGCATTATCAACAGAGTCGATACCGGCAACCGAGGCTTTACGGTTGAAATGTATTAGATGGGACCGAAGATCTCGTGAGGCGGCTCTGAGAGTATGTTAGTGACGAGATATAAAGATTGAAATTTTCTTTCTTACCGATTCAGGATATATAGAAGGACACGTTCACGCTCACCCTCTGATATACGGCTTAAAGGTCGGGGTCTTCCGCTACTTACCCGAAAAGGCTGCTTTATAGAGAAAGTGTACGATTCAGAGAAGTCGTATAGAACTGTATCGTAAATGTCATTAGGAAGTCGAAAGTGGAAATCATAGATATCGCCATATATTATACCAATTCGATATAAAGTATCTAGGCGACGAAGTCGGTCTTTCAGCAAAGAATGATACCACTCCTACTCAAACGAGCTTAGAGAAATCACTTCAGGAGTAGTGCAAAACCTTTCGGATAGGGTTTTAAGGATAGCTAAGAATTTAGACTGGTGATTGACAACTTCACTAAGAACTCGTCGAGAGCGTAAGTCCGGTTTTATTACCTCTAGCACAACCGCTCGCTCGTGGTAATACCCTGAAGAAAATCGAGATTTTGGCATATCGGTGATCACTCCATGGAATTGTGGGAAATAGATTCTTTCACGGGCGGGACAGAATAGGTCAATATGGCTGTATACCCGTACCTCCCGATAAAATCTATCGAACTCGTATATAGCATCCTCTATCCTTTCTGGATTTGGCGATACTCCGATACGGTGAAGCTGTATCGTAGCATCTCGCCTAGAATAGCAAGGGAACTAGTATAGGATTAATCGAAGCATGCCGCACGCGTATAATGATTGTCTCTACTTACGACTTTGCCGATATATTTTCTACGTCCTTGGATCCGAAGCCAAAATACTTGTATACTGCTCGCATCCGGTTCTCTTGATATATCGGCCTTGCTTCCTAGTTCCCAGTTGTCGTCTTCAGCACAAAAAGGTCGGAATCGTCGGTCCTCAAGTTCTTTGGTGTTCGGAATGTTTGGATGGCTGCCAGAGAAAAATAGGTTCATCCAAGAATCCCCTTCCTCCATGATAGGCGTTCTTGTCAAATAAAATAAAATAGCGGGATGATCCTGCACTGGTTTTGAAGCTGGTCGTAGAGACGTTAAAAGGCGCCTCCGGAAATTAGTGTCAGGTGAGATGCGATTATCCTTGTATTATATCACCCATTTAAAATCTCCACCGCCCTTGGGCTCTGCGTTCTCAGCTACAACAAATGCAGCCCTGCGCCGGCCTTTATAGCTAATAGAATGGTGCAGAATCCATTTAGCTCCGTCTACGTAGCTGTATGTTGTAGCATATTCACAGAAATCTGGTATCTGGTATACGAACAATTTATGGTATGAATGACCGATGTTGAGAACTCTCCCTAGGATGAGAAAAATCCGAGGGGCATATCCTATATGCCGAAAAGGATACCAGATAGTAGATGGGTAGTGATAAACCCATCAAACACCCACGGGGATGTAGAAACGATATAAGCACTGACATCGTGGTGTTCAATCATGAATTGAGGGTTGTAAAACAAAGTCATTCAAATCTCTAAGTTAAGAATAACTCTGCGAGGTAAAAAATATGTACTGAACCTCAACCGCAAGAAAAATGGGGGATTACACGTATACAACGAGACCTCGATATGTAACGCGGAAAACCAGACTGCCAACGATATGAGTCGGGGTATCTTGGAACTGACGGCCGACTGTACAACTGGCCGAACAGCGAAAACGGGAAAGAGAGACCACGAAAGTGGACGACCAGTGTCAAAAAAGTCAAAAATCAAACCAACGCCTTTCGATGCCCGAGGGGATCGTATGATAAGTGAAAGGACGGAAATCGCAGATGCAATCGCTATGAGAGAAAAGAGGGTGGGCGAAAAAAAAATAACAGCAGAAGGAAAGAAAGGAACCACAGGATCCTGTCATACATATACAAATCGAATCTTCAATCTTGAATCTTGGATCTTGGATCATTTGAGCTGGCCCTTGCGCACGGCACCATAGCCCTTACTAAAGAGTTCCTGGATCTCAACGGAGCGCCGACGGCCAGTAGCGTCTTCGGGACAAAGGAGCCCAGACTGGCGACCACGGTCCGTGTCAGCATTGCGACTCGGCGCACTGCTGTGACTAGCCGTGGCGCTGGCGCTGGTAAACCCATCAACCTCGACTTCCCTGGTAACAGGCTTGGTATCCATGACGCGGGGGCGGGCGAGCAGTTCGCGAACCTGTCGTTCGCGGGCGTCCATCTCAGCCTTCTCGGCGTTATCGCGGGCTATCTCGAAGCTTGATCTCTTGGTACCGTGGTCCCAGCCCTGCTGGAGTTCCGATGCGGCTGCTTCTTCGAAGCGCTTGCGAATTTCGAGATCCTGCTCATATTCTTGGAAGAGGTCGACGTCTGTTGGGAAGAAGAGGGCGCGGAGGGTTGAGACAGCGAATTCGAAAAGGAGGACTGCTGAGACGGAGAGGAGGAGGACGGTCCAGAAGAGGAGGTTGTGGCCTGAGTGGTGGATGAAGTTGGAGGGGAGGAAGTAGATGCCTTTGCCGGAGGACATCGTGTATTCGCGATCGAGGATGAGGTCCCACATGAACCAGCCGCCGACGGAGATTATTATTACGGCTAGCGACATGTAGGTTTTATTGTGGACTTCCAGGGCTTGGAGTTTGACGTTGATGACGATGATGCAGGCGGAGAAGGTGAGTAGGCCCAGGGAGAAGATGTCATTGTCGCTAGGGTTGACTTTTGCGAAGCCGAAGAGACTCCACATCGTGAAGAATATTATCACTGCCTCGCAGGTCGCCATGAATGACCAGCCCAGGTAGAGCCGGATATTGAAGCCACCATGCTTTTGACCCTTGGTGTAAAGCTCAGGTACAGCTAGCAGTGTCGATGCTGAGAGGTCTTTGGTGAAGATACCCAGGAAGATGACAGCGAGCGAGGTGAACAGCGTGTTGAACATACTCAGACTCCACGGTTCATACAAACTGGTTCCGGTGTAGCCGTTCCAGCGTTGGTACAGCGCTTGAGTCAGATAGAACAACATTTCCTTCCAGAATGTGCCGAGTGTATACTTGCAAGCACGCATATAGTTCCACCGGCCGTGCACCAGTAGCAACTTGAGAAGGAAGCGGAATTGCGCAATCGAGTAGTCCGAGATACGTGCTGCCTGCAATCCCTCCTTTCCAGTGATTCCGATACCCACATGGGCCTCCTGGATCATGGCGATATCGTTGGCGCCATCGCCAATGGCAAGCGTGATCGCATCAGTGAGCTGTTTGCGGATTGATCTCACCAAGAACGCCTTTTGCTTTGGGCTTGCTCGGCAACAAATGACCGAGTCTGCCTTAACAGCCAGTTGGAAGAACTGTACACGCACCACCTCATTCGCTTCGATCAACGACAACGTCTGGCCATCAACCACAACCACAGAATGTGCCACACGGCCACGGGTAATCTCCTCAATAAGATGCGTTATCGTTTCCTCGACATCGGAATTCTCTTGGTCCAAAATAGTCAGTGTCGAGTACTCCTTGACAAGACGGCACGAGTGGCCGACATTGATAGCAGTCTCCCGCTTATCACCAGTCAACATCCACATCTTGATATTGGCTCGTCGCAATTTGTCAATAGCCTCCGGCACGCCTTTCTGCAGCTTATCCTCAATAGCAGTGGCACCAGTAAGCTCCAGCTGCTGTTCAATCTGCTCGCCGGCGTCCTCGATTTTCTGCTGTCGATCAACAAGGCTGGTGCAAGCCTCGTTGTAGGCAGTTTTCCAAGTCGTGTAGGTCGCTTCATCCAAAAACCGGTGGCCATACAACAAAGTCCGAAGACCATCAGTGGCAAAGTCGTTCAGATGCTGGAAACAGCGCTCGAAAATAGCCGCGTCGTTGACAACCAGTGCCTCCTCCACGAGATCCTCGTCGTCGTCGCCATGCGTGGAGCTTCCAGAGTCCGAGATTGCAGCCGAAGGTCTACCCATCTGCGCCGAAGGCCGAGGGCTGTAGTACTCACTATCGCCCTCTCTGTTCCGCATACCACCATCCGTCTCCCGGTCGCGCAGCCAAACATCGATACTGGCTCGAAGAGCCGAGCCCTGTTGGCCAGTAATCGACGAGCGTCGACGGCTAAAGCTAGGACGGGTCATACTGCTCCGAACAACACTGTTCTTGCGGCTGTGGTGCTCACTGTTACGTTGAATAACCTGGTTCGCCTCGGCATTCTTGCGCCTGCTGGCACGACGCTCAATTTCATTCGCCTTCTCGCGTGCCAAATCTGCTTGCTTGAGGAGACGCATCAGCGTGGTGTCGGCACCTTTGCAGAATAGGCAAATGCGCTGGTCAGGCATGCGAACAACGACTGACATGCGCTTTCGCGCGCTTGAGAACTCGATCACATCCATGACCTCGTAGACTTCGTCGCTGGTGGCTTCGTCCGGTCCGCTCGGTTGTGTACGGATGGTCAACTTGTTTGATTGGCGATCCACGACGAGATACCCGAGCTCCTGCGCTGCAAGAACAAGAGCTAATTCGTCCGGGGAGGCAGCCTGGAAAGTGGTGTTTCCGTTCGCGTCTTCTTCGGGAATACAAGTGTGACACAGAGCCATAGACAGGATGAACAGTTTCGCCTTTCGGGCAAAGATGGTGTACGGCTTGCGCTGAATATATTCCAGCATCTCTTCGGTGCGGTATGTAGTAGCCGAGCGCCCACGGAGAGCATCAGGAAGCCCAGAAACGTTCGACGGGCGGGGCATCTGAGCCTCGGAAACATTAGACTTGCGGCCCATTGCCTTCTTCCCCTTTGCGCTCCGCTTCTTGTGAATCAACTTGGTGTGGTCGCCTGCACGAGCAGCCTCCTCCTGGAGGTCGGCGTCGTGTAACCACGCGGTTCCAGCCACACTCATCTTGCGGAAGCGCATGGAGTTATTTGTAAGCGTTCCGGTCTTGTCGGAAAAGATGTAGCTGACTTGACCGAGCTCCTCGTTAATAGTGGAGGTGCGCGCCTCGAGCGGGGTGTCGGTTTCGGGGTCGTACATGTCGATATCGTTTAGAAGCAGCATCTGGGCAACTTTAACGATTTCCATACTCACGTATAAGGAGATGGGAATCATGGTGTTGAACATAATCAGGAACGAAGTGAAAATCGGGCCATAGGAAACGCTAGCATTTTCAAGATACCAAGAATGTTGCTCCACGTCGCCAGACCAGAACTTGTAGGCCACAGTGCATACAACAGCCAAGATTACGACCAACACCACGATCAGCATTACCACGCGGTTGACCTTGTCCTGGAGAGCGGGCTTCTTGATTCGCGGGTTCTTGTTGGCGTTCATGCGGATCTTGCACTCCTCGCCAGTGTATATCACCATACCCAGAGCACGGTCAGTGTTGCGAAGGATGCTGCCACGGTAAACAATCTCGTTGTTGGTCAAAGGAAGTTTCTCCTGGCCATTGACGGTGACGTGACCGTCAAACTTATAGAGATCCAAATTGGGGTCCTCAACAACAAAGTGCAAGGAGTTGCTATTGATGTCCTCCATAGTCGAGCACACCTTGGACACAGGCTGGCAAGCCTGTTTATTTTTCAAATTTGTCTCTCCGTCGAGAGCCATGGTCTCAATGTAAGCGACGCCGTTAGGTCCGTTAGCGTGAAGAAGAGCAATATCAGCAGGAATCGGCTGGTCGCGCTCAAGTTTAAGAACGTCGCCCACACGAATTTCCTCACACTTGATCCGCTCCCAATCTTGGGCACTGCTTATCATCGAGGCACCGTCCTGAACCGTACCGTGGCCTGGGCGGAGCACCCAAGCATCCCGATTATTCTCTTCCTTGTCCAAGCGATACCGGCGCCAATCATCAAATCCTTCCTTCCCCATTGAGATACCAACGAAGATTAAAAGCGGGACGATAGTTGTGTATGTTCCAGTTGTACTCAGGCCAGGGATCATCTGCAGGATGGCGACAACCAAGAAGTAGAAGTTGGCGACTTTGGTAAATTGGGCGAATAATTGGCGGGGGAAGAAACTCCAGAGACTGTAACGACTTGAACGAATGAAGTTACCGATATAAGGCTTCCCTGTGCGTTCATCAATCATGGAACCCACCATGGGCGGATTCAAGTCAATGTGGCGCCCATCCTGAGTAGGAGGAATATCCTTGATGCGCAGAATAAATTTCTGGATAGACATCATAACAGCCTGGAAACGCGCGAGAGCCACTGCAGCAGTCGCTTTTTTCCGGAGCCACTTCTCCTGGGCCACAGACACGGAGAACTGTGCCTTGAGAGCTTTCTCCGAAGAATCAGAAGAGACATAGGGGGAAGCATCCTCCCTATGGGTCGAGTCAAGCGTTGCAGTCGGCGCGACACTCAGAGGATGCTTCTCATGGGCGGCACTGAGCGTCTCAGCAGCCGGGACCTGAACGGGAGTCACATCAGACGAGGGCTCCTTGACCTCACCCAGCTCAGCCAGGGCGAGATCCTCGTTCTCCGTCGAGTTGATGGCCTTATTAAATATGCTGCGGCGGAGCGAGTATCCACGATTTCGCGAACGAGACCGACCGGCGAACTCGGGACTCGGTGGGGGAATGGGGGAGAGGGTCGCATTTTGGGTGGCACTGGGAGGCGAGAGCGGAGAGGTGGGTGAAGGAACGGGTCGTACTGGAAGCGCCAGCGCTGTGTCGACGGTCAGGCTGCGGGAATTGAGGCGTCGATCCCGGTTTGTCTGTCCCTGTTCCTCGGTCGACTCGCGGGCGAGATCGGTTGAGAAGCGCACATGTTGGGAGGAGATGCGACGCCCGGAGTCGGAGAGGGTTCGAGACACGAGAGATGAGCGTCGGAGATCATCGTTCTGGTCGGGTAGGGTGCCCTCTATAGGTTCTGTTGGTTTGTCGTTGGACATAACGGCAGTCGAATTCCTGTCGAATCCCTGGCACGAATGCGCGGGACAGATCCCGACGATCTCGGTAGTTCTTTTTTTTTTTTTCCTCCGAGATTGTTGGACCCTTCCTCTACTAGATTTCCCCAAGAGTAAATTGAAGTATTCGATTGAATGCACTGATCAGGCAGTCATTCTTCTGCTGTTCTTTTAGCGGGGGAGACGAGTTCCCCTATCGTAAACGAAGGTGTTGCGAGGGTTGAGCAAACGAAGGTACTCACTCCCGTCGGAAGCAAGGATAGAAAGGAAGGGCGTAACGATTGTGTCCTATAGAAGAGAAAAGGAAAAGAGGCCAAGAGACTAAGAGACTAAGAGACTTAGACTAAAAAAACCAGAGAGACAAGTAGCCAAGACGTGAGGGAAATGGCGAACCAAAAACGGCCTAGTGTTCCAACTGATATCCAGAAGACGTCCGTACTCCGTAGAAGATCTACAAGGATATATGAAGAGATATATGATAGGCAGACACATTATGACAAAATTGGAGTTAAGTGGACATTGGGGAAATCCCCAAACGTCCAAAACGTCTTAAAAGACCTTCAATAACAAAACCCGTTCATGGTAGAGTTTTGGGTAACGCGTATGCAAACGCTTACGCTTAGGCACAGCCCCATCCAGGTTTAAATTAAGAATCGTCGAATCAGATGCGATTGTTCCTCGCTGCATTGGGGCGACATAGGAAAGGCCCGCTGGATCCAGATCTGTCTTCTTTTCTATTGGTCGGCCTCACATTCCCTAGACCCGGCAGCCCTATTGCAGAAGAAAAATGGAAAAAGAATTGGAAGTACAACATACATGTAGTGACATGTTACCCTCTTTTTTAATACATCTTACTACTGTAAGTCATGTACGATCCTTCTGTGATCTTGGCGAATCGGACTAATTCGTTTTGAGTGTTGCCTTCCGAGGTTGGCCTAATCACAAAAATATCACAAAAATAAACATGGCAGCCTCGAAAGGCGGTTGAACAGATAAAAGGATAAAAATAATATTGCAGGTAAAAGTTCCAAGGTTGGGTTCAATTGATTCATGGAATCTACGTGGGGTGAAACTGCAACCCCCAACCACAATCTTCCCTCAAAGTCTCATGGCAAAAAAAAAAAAAAAAAACCGGAAACCTAGAAGGCGTATGACATCACATTCCATCAATAGCGTGGCGGTCCACCATACTGGTAACCAGATCCAGGCTGCGATCCATACCCTTGTTGACCATAGCCACGCGATCCCTGGTAGGGAGGTTGCTGGGGAGGTTGCTGTTGGTATTGACCCTGTTGACCCTGTGGTGGGTAGCCCGACTGGGAACCGTAGGAAGCCGGTGGGGCACCAGGGGGCGGACCATACGGAGGCTGGGCTTGACCCTGGGGCGGTTGACCATACGGAGGCTGGGCTTGACCCTGGGGCGGTTGACCATACGGAGGCTGGGCTTGGCCCTGGGGCGGTTGACCATACGGAGGCTGAGCTTGACCCTGGGGCGGTTGGCCATACCCTCCTCCTCCGTACTGGCTTATCGATGCAGGTGGAGGTGCATTTCGACGTTCGTTGTCTCGCTCATCCTTGGTGTCGTAGGAGGAATCAATAGCGCCCAGCATCAGTTTGGCACACTACATAGACAGTCAGTTCAATACTAGGCAATGATCACTATAATGAATGACTTACCCAAAGCTCGCGAGTGAGATGCACTGGTGGGTTAGCACGGGACATCTCGTCCTGCTCAACCTCGAAGTCTAGAACACCACGTTAGCTAGGATCCACTATGAATTCCACGTGGGACTTACTGGAGGTACAGTCGATCAGGTGGCCAATATGAGGGTCCTCGTCCAGAGAGCCCAAGAAGTCGCGAGCCCGCTGATCAGTTCCCACCTGCGAGAACTGGAAGGATACGGAGCCGGGGCCATAACGGGTCCGGGACGTCTCCTCCACTGCGTAGCGAATGACATCACCCACAGCACCGTGAGGCTCGCCAGCAGGCTGTCCGTCGGTGATGGTGATCACCAGCACGGGCTTCTCGAGACGGTTGGCCCGGGCGGGTTGAACAAGCAGCGGGTCGATGACCTTGCTCTTCAGGTTGGTGCCGAGGGGGGTCAGGCCCGAGAAACGGACTCGGGACACTAGACGGTTGACATCCTCTGCGTTGCGGATGCCGTCGCCCACCTCACTGGAGTTCATGAATCGGACAGAAATACCGTCCTGGTCGAAGGTAGATGCAGCAGTAGCCACGATACCGAGGATCTGTCTGAGTTGATCCTTTCGGAGACCCTTTTCTTCGAATTCAATGGATCCACTGTCATCGACGTAGAGAATCACGTCGAACAGCGCGAGCTTCATGACATCGGTCGCAACCTCCATGGGCACAGCCCATTCATGAATCAGTTTGTTGAGCTTGCCCGGTGCTTCAGCGGCAAGCGTCTGAACAAGCCGGTCCAGTCGCTCCGGAGGGTAGAAGCTTTGGAGATTCTTCTCCTGAATTGTGGAAATCAAAAGCGATCGGTAAGCTGCGACTTGCTGCTGGGTGGCCGGAGGAGCTGCAGACTGAGGGGGGCCACCGGGTGCGCCATACTGGCCTGGTGGTGGTCCACTTGGTGGTCCAGGTGAAGGCCCAGGACGGCCTTGACCTCCGGGGTATGGAGCTCCCTGGTTAGGGTAGGGGGGTGTCTGGTTCTATTTTCCGTTAGCATTCTTCCCCAGTCATTAAGCATTCAACAAAAATTCGATGTAACGTCAAACACGAAACACAGAAACAGGGAGTGGTGCAAGGCAAGGGGTATTATGTACATATGACGGCTGCTGTCCGGGGTATTGTTGTTGTCCTGGGTATTGCTGTTGCCCGGGATAGGACGGCTGTGGAGCTTGCTGTTGCCCCGGATAGGGCGACTGTGGAGCTTGCTGTTGACCCGGATAGGGCGACTGTGCAGACTGTCGTCCTGGATAGGGCGAGCTAGGAGACGCATAGGGTTGTCCCGGTTGCTGGCCCGGGTAAGGCGAACTAGCGGAGGCATAGGGCTGGCCTTGTGGTGGGGGTGGAGGCGGGCGGCCATAGCCCTGAGATTGCTGAGATTGCTGAGAAGCGGGGTAGGGTGTGGATGCCGGAGGCCTGGAATAGGGAGATGATGGATTCTGTTGAGATGAGCCGCCGTATGGATAGCCTTGGTAAGGTGCCGACATGGTTCCAGAATAATGACCGTGGAGGGGTAAATCGTGGAAGTGGGGGAAAAAACACGAAAAGCAAAAGTAGTTAAAGAAAAATTATGGCTTACCGATCCCTGGGGGGCTGGGGATCCTGAATAAGCCTGATATTGGGGCTGTTGACTCTGAGAACGTTAACACTTTTCCTCTTTTTCTCTATGACGTCGAACTGCGAGTCATAGCAGAAACAAGTGCAGACATGGACATATGACTTACCGATCCACCAGGCTGCAAGGCTGCAGGAGGACCCCCAGTGTATCCTGACGGAGGGGCACCTCCATATGAGCCACTGTTCGCCATGTTCTGGCTATTCTGAGCTGCGGCGATTTTCTGAGCGAACTAAAGGTGATGGGTCAGATTGAGGGGTTCTCTAAGAGTTGTGGAAAAAGGAATCTGGAAGGCTTACACCCATGATAAACTAGATGGGGAAAAGAGAAAAAGGTAAGATACAGAAGTCGGAGTATCACGAGAAGAGAATTCCACGGTTCGATGACGTTGCCTGAGGTGGATAGCCCCTCTTGAGTTGGCCAAGTGAGGCTGAGCTGTATACGTTGGGTACTTAGGGATACTTCGCCCCACACGTGTCCTTACTAGCACATAAAGTACCTCGAAGTACCTTCAATGAAGTCACCGGGTCAATGTATGCAGCCCTATACATATTACGCCGGATTTTAGGCCGCAGTTGGGATTTTTTCGCCCCCGTGAGATTGTGCTTAAGGTGATCACTAAGTCTCTCATACCTCCAAGGGCTCGGCACGGTGATCACTCAGTGAACGGTGGAGCTTGGAAAAAAAAAACCTCGTTTCCTCTTTCTAGCTAAAATCGAACATGTAAACAAGGCATCAAAGGTCAGATTTCACCTATACACTATAACTCCCTCATGTTTCACGGAGTAAATGTGCGATGATCATGTCCAGATATACCCCAGCACGGGGTGTGATAGCCTCTACTCCCTCCAATTTGGCCGCATCATCCCACAGTCGAAGTGAGACCATGTCGTCTCGAAGTGGATCTTCCTCGAAGTTTTTGAGGTCCGCATCTCGGAAGGGGTCGCCTTGAAAGGCCAGCGATTTCTGTGAGGCAGATGATAGAGATCCGTAGTATCCTCGGTCAGTAGCAGTCAGGTACCTAAAAGGTGAGTCTAGGTTCACAAAAGAGAGGTGAAACGTCACATACCGTTTGGCTGCGACATGACTATTTATCAAGCTACACACTGCCTCGCTGAATCCAAGAGCCCGAAGATAGGATGCCCCGATGGCTTCATGGCCGACCCGGCCGACATTTTGCGTGCTTTCGCGAAAATTCATGCGTGCCTCCTTGGTGGATTCCAAAGGAATAATTTGACCAATGTCATGTAATAAAGCCGCAATTACCAATTCATCACGAGCATCTAGCAGAATGTTAGTAACTATGAGAGATCTTGAGAGCAATACGTACCCGCTTTATGGGCCTGGTGAACCGCCTGCAAACAGTGCTCTAACTGGCAAATCGACTCCCCGATGTAGTCACCTTGGCCATACTTTTCTAGAGTGCCGATCAGAGCCTTTGCCTTTTCCTTGGGTGACTGCTGATTCATGATGCAATTTAATTGAATAGGAGCGACGTTGAAAAGAACCAAAGACCCGGACGAACAAAAGAAAGACGAGAAAGAGGCGAGGCGGAGGGAAACATCAATATATACCAGAGCCATTCCGTTACATTTCCAACCCAGTTGGAGGGTATACTAAAATGTTCGGTCATCATGCCGGTGGTCCCCCACACGAATATGGAGTGGGCCTGGCCAATTGGTTTTAATGGCACATACTTTGTACATATATTCCAGTCATTTTGCTTTGACTAATATCATTGCTACAGTATCTTTAGATCACATGGGATTGACTCTTTACTACTAAGTATAACGTACAGCCTTCCTCCATCGGTCACGCAGGGATGCCCGTAATGGTCCACAGTTCACATAGGGGATCCAAAGGCATATCGTGCACGGCCTTCCTCATATGACTGTCCGTTTTCCCGCACGTGTGTTGCAGGCCAGAGCTTCTAGTAGTCGAAAAAGTACTGGTCGTGCAGATTACCTTCAGCGGCACAGTTATACGTAGTATAGATCGCAAGGCGATCCTTCGAGCTCACATTAGCACCACTGCGATGGGCCAGGTACGGGCCAAAAATCAAGATATCACCTACTCTCACTAATGAAACAGCGATGAATGTGTTGGAGACTTTGCAATTTGCATGCCTGATTCAAGCTCAGCGGGTGTCCATACATTGCTTTCGGCCCAATCTGACGCAATGCAGCGATCGCTGCCGAGAGGAATATCCATGCAGTGGCTACCGTTCACCACTTCTAGACCCCCATTGGCTGCATTCATTCCATCGACTGTCGCAAAAAATAGTCATATGTTTGATGTTTTTAGCATGGGTGTAGGCATTGGCATCAATATGGGGATCGAAACCACCTATGAAACAGGTGAGCGATGGAGTCGGGGTTATAAGATCGTACTTTACTTACCACTTCCTGCCAACCTATAGTTGATCTTTTCTTTGAAAAGAAGCATCTCTCCTTCTGCGAGCTGTTGTAGAAGACTTGTTGCACGCTGCTCTCGGGGAAAACTATCGAATCCGGCATGCGAGTTGGCAAATTTTCCGGTGCGACACAGCACACGTTTGCCTGCCGAGTTCACCTCTTGATAGGGCATCCAGGGCACCTCAAAAGTGCACAGAAGATCGTGGACTTCCTGTGCCCACTCTCGCAACAGCTCCGATTCCTCAGAAGTGAAAAAAAAAAAAAAAAAAACCGCGAACCGGCAGATATCCACACTCCTAGAAACTCTGAAGCTGCTCGGCAGAGAGCGAGTAATGGAAATTATTCATTCTGTTACTGGTAGTTTCAAGTAGAAACTCAGAATAGAAGGCGATCGTGAAACTTTGGGGTACTCAGAAGCTCGCATTTTGTAGATAGATTGAGAAGTAAGTCGCCGCAATGGAAGTCCTAAAGTGTCGCCCTTCGCACCGAGAGGAGTGTTTTTTGAACGAGACGAAATATAGATCCACCATGTAAGATGCATAAGCACATGAGTAAATGATAAGCTCCGATAGGCTTAACCTTCAGGAAATGCCCTATTCGAGGAGATCAAGACTCAGAGAGACTGTGCTCAAGCACATGGCTAAAAGATAAGCTCCGATAGGTTTGGCGAGTAATGCCTTCGGGAGACTGAGCCCTGGAGACTATGTGGGGGGTGGCCAAGACATGTTTGTGAGGAAGCTGTCAACTGAAACCATGGAACTACCGAAACTATGGAGCTCTGTTATACCTGTACCCGTGGACCTGAGACAGGAGCTTAGGCCCCTACTTAGTACTACATAACATACAGGCATATCTCGCACTTCCCACCGAGACCATCGTGTCCTTATTTTAAGCTATCATTGGGTCTCTTTTCGGAGTAATTCATTATTAGAGCCATCCAAGGGACTTCTATAGATATCAATATCTTCCCACCAATAACATGTCCTCTCTGACTTGTCCAGTACCCTTGTCATTATGGCTATGGCTACATCTCCCAGTGACTCTGTCATGAGGATGGAAGATCCCAAGGTGCCAATCTCGCAAATTGACTGGGACATTGAGCAACGAGAACCCGAGAAGAAACGCTCGGGTGTGCTCAATGTAGTGGTTTCCGGGTTGGCCTTGTTCAGTGATGGATACAATGCTCAAATCAGTACGTGTTAATCCGTCTCTCCAGAGGTCTTCATTTTCTCTTGTACTAACCGTATGATAGTTGGTTATATGGAGCCTTTATTCTCGGTCCTGTGAGTAGCCCAGTTTTCGGAATAATTCGGGCCAAATCCGCTGATGAGTCCAGTTACATGGGGCGGAATGTCTTGGACCATAAAGTCGCGTCTATCGAACTCATATCTCATTGGTGAGATCTTTGGCATGCTTTTTTTTGGTGTTCTAATTGACCGCATTGGTCGTCGGACTGGTATCGTCGCTGCGACGGCATTTCTCATTATTGGAGTGATGTTGGCAACTGCGTCTCATGGAAAATCACAACTAGGGTATGCTTCTCCAAGAAATTCAGACTTTTGATTGCAATTCATCACTGACGCTACAATAAGAATATTTTAGATGATGATTATTGCAAGAGGCATCGCAGGGTTTGGCGCTGGAGGAGAATACCCTGTTTGTGCTACCTGTGCCACTGAGGCTGCCGATGAGACAGCCCACCTCCGGAAGCGACGCGGTTTCTTGGTCGCAGTGACCACCGATTTTGCTATAGACCTGGTCAGTACTAGCACGAGCTGGACGGGGGCCTTGCTAACTTTACCATAGGGATTTGTTGCAGCTGGCTTGGTTGCTCTTATTGTTCTCGCGTGTTACAGCCAACAAACTTCCGAAGGGATCTGGCGCGTTACATTAGGTTTGGGTATTGTGGTAAGTCACTTCCTCATAAAGCTAATGATTAACGATTCTGACATTGGGATCAGTTGCCATTATCAATCTGTTTCTTCCGCGTTCGAATGGTCAACTCTACTCAATATCAAAAGCATGCTATCAAGTCGCAGTATCCCTACGGATTAGTACTACGTCGCTACTGAAAACCCATGCTTGGAACATGTGTTGTTCAGTGCGGTTAAATTGTGTAGTAGCTTTGGCTAATGTGTGACATTTCCAGCCATGGCTTGGTTCTGTTATGACTTTGTCACATATCCATTTGGTCTGTTCTCGTCCACCATAATTGAGCAGCTGAACTCCAACAACACCACAGTTCAGAATATTGGATACGGGGTAGGTCACCATATCACCCTTGCTTTAGGTGGCTAAACTGACAAGACGATTTGCAGACCGTTATCAACTGCTCTTATCTTCCAGGATGCTTGCTTGGTGGCATCCTCATGGATCGAATCGGCCGCAAACAGACCATGACCCTAGGATTTATGATCTGGGCTATATGGGGATTTATTCTGGGCGCTGCACTTCAACCTATTCAAAGTGTTTTCCCGCTTTTTATAGTCATGTTTGGCATTTTCCAAGCACTCGGCGAGATGGGCCCTGGTGTCTCGACGTTCCTCTGTGCTTCGGAGTCATTCCCAACACCCCTCCGTGGCCATTTCCTCGGATTAGCAGCCGCAGTCGGGAAAGCCGGAGCGTCGATTGGGACAGAAGTTTTCACCCCGATCCAGAGCTCCTTCGATACCACCGCAAAAGGCCAGCAAGCAGTTTTCCTAATTGGTGCGGCCTTCACGGTGGTGGGTGGTCTGGTTGCCTGGTTCCTTATCCCGGATATGTCTCGCGAGCTAGAGACAGAGGATGCCAAGTTCAAATCATATTTGGAAGAGAATGGGTATGATGTGAGTTTGTATGGCGAGGCATTGGTCGTCAACGCCCGCGCTTCGACTTAACCTGGCAAACAAACAAAATATAGAGTTCGGAATCGTCACACTAAATTCAGAGCGATTGTAAAAAGCCCAAATGAGATTGATCAGTTTGTCGTATGGTATCTCTGGTGTATATTGGTGTTTTTCTTTTTTCTTTCCTTTTTTTTTTTTTTGTGCGCTTCAAATCAAGCCTTCGTCATATCGGCCCAGTGAATATACGTAGAAAGAGTTCCCGCAACTATGGGAATTCAACTCGTCTTTCTCTCTTCTCAGAAACTACATGATCCAATAATGTTCTGAGATTCAGTAACAGGGGGATACTGAGCCATTGTAATTTATATAGTTCTATTACTATACAGAATGGTTCGCTACTTCGCCCGAAGTAGTTCGTTCGACCCACATCCCCACTTTTCTAGAATGGAAGCCGTCGGGTGGATAATTCTTATTTTTGTTCTTACATCCAGATTCTTACAGAGACTGCTCAAAAAGGCCTACAGGTGGGCATGATAAGTCTGCTATTCTAGGCAGATGAGCCTACATTAGGAGTATGTCCCCGTTCTCACTATACGCTATGATACTTTTTCCAACCAATATATTTTGTACACATAGCTTGGACCATATCTATACAAGATCGGCAGATAATCTGTGACTTCACAAGGTAGCTATATTGATTGTATCAGAGCCTACTGGCATTGGATCACATCCAGGGTAACATTCAGACTGAACCATGCAATACGGCCTTGGATCACTTGAGGTGCGGTGGGCAATGATGTCACAGGGTTGGCATGCTCCAGGGATGTCCCTTCAGATGATACACACACCTGACACACTTTTCTTTGTTTGTTACAAGATAGTGTCAAGCACCGCTCTCACTCTAATTTTCGCGCTTTGCTCACTTTCACGTTCCCAACTCCCCAATCACTGAGCTACCTGAGATATCATTCAGCTCATCTCTAACAAACGCACTGGTCATCTCTCAGCTTCCCTCTGTCTCTACCCATCCAATCTATAACTTCCTAACTTCTCTGCCAATATGCCCACCCCTGTCCTCCGCCTCGGTATCCTAGGCGCCACAAACGCCGTCCAAGCCACCTACCTCCCGGTCCTCCGTTCTCTCAAAACACACTTCACTCTCACAGCCATCTACGACCCCAACCCCGAGATCGCAAACCAATGTCAAGCCCGCTTCGACATCACACACAGCACAACAGTCGTCGAAGATGTCCTACTCCATAAAGAAGTGGACGTCATCCTTAATCTCCTCCCAGTGGAGTACCACGAGCAATACACCGTGACAGCCCTCGAAGCCGGCAAAGACGTAATGGTCGAAGTCCCCCTCACAATGAGCATCTCAAGCCTACGTCGCATACGCGAAGCAATCAAAAAAGGCAAAGCCTCCCGATCCCTCGACGGCATCAACAAAACAGACGGCCCAAAGGTATTCGTCGGATGTGCGCGTCGCTACGCGCCCTGCTTCACAGAGGTCTTCAAGAAAGAACTCGCATCCCTAGGGCGCGTGTACTACGCGCGCTGTCGACACATCGCCGGCCCAATGAATATGGATAACAGTGTCGCGATTGCATCGAAAGACATCACACGGCCAATGAAGAGCAACAATAACCCAGAGCAGTTCCGCGCGCTGCTGGAAGACGTCTTCGGCTTGGAAGAGGACCTCACTCCGGACAGAGTCGCTTTCTGTCGCTACCTCGGTATGCTAGGCTGTCACGATCTATCGGTGATGCGCGAGTCGTTGGGAGTCCCGGATGCTGTTTCTAACGTCGCTATCACGGACCCGTTCTACTCTGCCATTTTCCACTATACAAACTCCGCTGGGAATGACGGCCACCCGTTCACGCTCCTCTATGAGGCCGGCGTTGATGCTGTGCCTCGCTGCGACGCCCATTTGACTATCTACGGTGCGCACAAGACTCTCAGCGTGGAGCATGACTTCCCGCGCCCTGGCGAGAAGATCAGCACTGGTACCTATGTGCGGGTCGTTGTTGAGGAAGCGGATGTGACGGCGGAGAAGGATCAACTCAGTCGAAATCAGGTCAATGAGACCGAGAATGCTCTTCCTCGTCCTCGGATCAAGCGGACGGAGACTGTTAGTACCTGTGACGAGGCGTACGAGCGTGAATTCTTGGCTCTGCATTCTTATCTAGTCGGTGATGGTTCAGCGGCGAAAACGACTGCTGACGACGCTGTCATGGATCTGCGGCTGCTGCTTATGATCTTTGACCACTATAACCGCCAGTGTGGTACCATTCGGACTCCGTTGGGTTGAGCGTCAATTTCCCAATAGGCAGTATGAAAGGGGGTATCCGTCCAGGGTTTTTTTCGGCGTTGCTTTGAGCTGGTTCTACGAGGGTCATTTACCTCGGGTTATGGGATAATCAGAGTCTTAGGGGTTGAAAACAGCCAGTGGGAATCCATTTTACTGCCCGTCGCGGGTTTAAGGTGCCCTTCCATATGAAATACAAGATAACATACCTGCGTTCCATATATCGTAGGCAGCATTCAAGCTATGATCTCTATCTGTCTGGAATTACACTATCGCTTGCCCTTCTTCTTATTCTTCTTAGCATTAGGGCCGCCACCGCCACCGCCGGACTTCTGCTGCTGCTGAGCAGGAGACTCTTCCGCCTTCTCATTGACAGGACCACCCTGCGTGAGTGCCGCGGCACGCTGCTTACCCTTCTTGCCCTTGGGCCTGTAAGAAGAGCGGTCACGTACAGGCAGCCAGCGCTCGGGGTCCGGCTTCTTGGCGGGATCAAAGTCCTTGGGCAGACGGGACTTGCGAACACGCTTGTTGGCGCGGTCGTCGGCGTTAACTGCGGTGCGCTTGCGGGCACCGGCAAAGGCAGCAGCCGCCGCGGCAACCGAGGAGGCAGAGGGCGAAATTCCAGCTGATTCCAGAGCTGAGACGTCGATGTCAGCGATCAGGTCGCTGACTGCCGGCAGGCGGTCGAGTTCGGACTCAATCTGCGCATAGTCCAGAGTTGCTTGTGAGGCGACATAGCCGGCGATGGCGACGCGGTCGTTAGGGTCTTGCTGGTACAGAGCACGGAACAAATCACCCGCTGTGGATAGGTCTCCGCGGTCTTCGGAGTGCAGGAGGGAGGCGGCTGCTGCGCGGAGGAGGGAGGCGGGGGGCTCGGGCTTCGTGCGCCAGTAGGAGGCGGCTTGTGCGAGGGTGGTGCGGATCTGGACCAAGCGACCTTCACGCTGGTACAGGGAGACTAGAACGCTGAGAAGTCCTGGGTTGAAGCGGACGGACTCGTTTGACCCCTCCAGGCTGTGGAGTGTTCGCTCCATGGCTGTGATAGCAGAGGTGGTGTTGCCGCTGCTGACATAGAGCTGTACCACTGTCAGAAGAAGCCCGATGTCTGTGGGCCGTCGCTCCAGCAATGGAACGATCTGTTTAAGGGCTCTAGGGCCGGTTTCGCCTTGGGCGTGTGCTGCGGCGTTGTATACAGAGAGAAGGTTGGTGATGGCGTCGGTGGATGGGCTTGGACGTTTTGACTGTGCCTTGGCCGTGGACCGGATTATGCCATCGTATTTCTGGACAAGAAGGTCTGCGGCGTGCGAGTTGCCGACCAGATCACGGTCCTGGAATTCGAATAACCGATCGTTATTTGTGGCATCGGGGGTGTCATGGAGGGCCTTGTATAGGATGTAGGGATTGACGGCGGTCGGACGAGCGAGGACGATGTTGTTGCGGGCAATCTTTTTGGTTGATAACTCGGTGATGCTAGAAAAATGTGTAAGTAATAAATTTCGAGTTGACATGATCCAACGTACTTGTCCACTGCGATATCTTTCAGAGCCACCTCGGCCTCTTCCAACTTTCCAAGTTGAATCAAGACATAGAGTTTCTGTACTGCGATTGGCAGCAGCTCTGCGGCCTTGTCTTCAGGTGTAAGATCCTCCGATGTCCGGCAGATATCTATGCAAAATGTCAGTATAAGTCCTGGTCTTAGGCAAGACGGCGGCATGCTAACTTTGAGCTCGGTTAAGCAACACCTCGCTCTGCTTAAATGCTCCCTTTGCAATATTCAAGCAAGCTGCGTTGTAGGTTGTTTCGAATGATTCCAAATCCTCCCTCGACAATCGGTCGTGGCGCACGAATTCCGTCTCTCCTTTCCATTGAAGCTGGGCATCGGTAGCCCACGAATTGATGTTCAGGTCGTTAATCTCGTGGCTGAAAGATGTCGTATCCTTCGAAAGTTGTTCGTAAAGTTCAGCTGCCCGTCGGAAGTGCTCGGCACGATAGCGCTGTTACAACAAGACAATCAACATTGGTCCTCAAGCACCAGAAGGAAAGTTAGGGTGCCATACCACTTGTGCCTCGAGGTGACTAGCACCACGCCCAGAAGCTGTCCGAGACAAGGTTTCTGTGGCTTCTTCAAGCTTCCCGCACTTGTATGATGCATACGCGTATTCCAAGCTTGCACTCTGCTTCAGCGCATCGCCTCCGGCCTGGAATGTCTTGAGAGCTTCTTCGTAACGGTCGAGTTTCAATAGAGCAACAACTTTCATGTGTTGCGCTTGCAAATCGGATTTGGATTTGGCGAGGACTGCATTGCACGACTGGAGGACTTCCTCGTGGTCGTCAATCGATGCCCGCTGCAATAGCGAGGCCAGCGATTGCGCAACCATTGCGGGGGTTGGTCGAGAAGTTCGAGAGGGTATCAGGGGAATGAAGAAGACCGAAACCTCAATGTCAGATAAAATATAAAATTGCAAGATTTATACAAAGAACACCTTTGCCGATTTCCCCAGATCAACTGATATCAAACTCCAATGTGCGGAACTGGTCTTTCCCCGATGGGGGGTTTCTGCACTCAATGCCGTATGCCCCACCGTAGCTCACGTGTCCTATTCCAAGGTTTCTTCCATTGAAGTCCATATGTCCATATCGTCCTGTTCAACGTTTGTTTTCCGGTCGTCTTACTAGTCTATCGTATTTGCTGCTTGTGAGTACTTCTACTAACGCTATCAAAAAACATGTGTGCTTGACCAACAAGGCATCCATATTATGTTGAATGCCTCTTTTCTCGGTCAATTTTATATCGATCTAAATAACTAACTAGTTAACTAGTTACTTATTTTTATCTCTGTTCTGGTTCTTCCTAAGAACGCTGCAACTTTTGACAAGAGCCTAGTATTCAAGAAAAATTTGTCACAGACTGTGCACCTTTTGCCGGCTTTTATTTAGCTCTAGAGTCCGCATCCGCAACTCCTGGCTTCCAGGCAGTTCTCTAGACAATTTAGCCCTGGATATCTCTCGAGGACGGCTTCCTATTCTACAGTAAAGAAACTGCCACGACATAGCCTGACCAAATCCATCCCAGCGTAGCCACACAATAATGAAGCTCCCTACGTTCCCCCTTCTCTACCTCTAAGCTTGCCTAAAGCGACCCGCGGACCTTTGCACAGCCCAGCAAAGTCTACAAATCAAACCGGAACAAATTTCTGCTAGCCACAAATGCACAATTTATTATACCGATTGCGTTCTGCGACTCAATTTTGGCTCGAAATCCTGGGTAGTGTTAGATAATTTCTGGCAAATGAAATACCCTTCTTGAGTAGGTGACAAACCAGTTGTGGTTGGAGACTCTGGGTATAGAGCCCTGACTCGAGCAAAACTCCTGGGTCGACATTCCTCGGCCGATGTAGCCCTCTGGAAACCAAAGTTTCGGTACTGGAATCTGGAGGCGGGTTGGTTACTGCTGCTCTATGCGCTCCGCCTGGCTGACCTTTGAAAGAAATCCTCTTGGAACCATGTATGACGCGATCCCAGATCGCAAGAAGGGAAGAACTTCCAGTGATGAAAAGCGAAATCAATGATAGTGTTGTGTCTATCGACCACGGCATCTTGGATGCTTCCTGAAGAATTACCAAGGCCTCCATGCTTCTAGATTTTATATTCCAGGGGTCAAACCAGATTCTGGCTTCTGTTTGAAAACTAGGTGAGAATACCAAATTGTGGTGACCGTGCAATAACGGTACTTTTGTATAAAAAAAAACAGATATTGGAAGAAGCAAATGAGAGAGCTGCAGGCCCGATGGAAGGGAGGGGCGAGTTGGGGTGCCTAGACCAAATTCCATCCTCAGATTTCAGATTTGGGTGTCAACCAATCATTAAGTCGGCCTTGTATTGGGGCAGCGCCCCTGAAGCAGAATTGGGCATCAGCCAATCAGGTATGTGACATTGCCTCATAGCTGGACACTGCAGCGACCAGGGTATAAAGATGGCTACGCCGCAGGAAGGAAATTTCTTCCAAGCAATCCCTCATAGCCGGAATCGAAGTTTGGGCTATCAGCCTGTCATTGCGCCTTCTCTCACAATGCCAACACAAGCACCCCGAATCCCGGACAAGGTATGGGATCAACACAAGGAAGAGATCATCGCTTTCCATGTAGCACATTCATTGGACCGGACAATGAACTATATGGAAGAGAAATACGGATTTCAAGCTAGGTACATTTCTAGTTCTCCTGGCCGACCCTCTGCATAACTGAAATCTGACGTTGCCATGGCTGCTCCCAGTGGAAACCAATACAACAGAAAGCTGGCATCGTGGGGCATAAGGAAATATTTTTCTGGAAGTGACTGGGCCAGTGTCTCCTCTGTGAAACGAAAGCGAAGCCAAGAGGGCAAAGATAGTGATTTCGCTTTCTATGGCCGCAAGATCACACGGCAAAAACTCGAGAAAGAAATCGCACGGCACGTTCCCTTGAGTAGGAGTTGGTGCAGCTCTGAGAAAGATGTTCTTCCAGATTATATTACTGTCTCTACACCACTGGCAGAGTCAATGGGCATATCTCGCAAGTTCCTTCTTCGTAACCTTCCTTGGTACGATTACACACAGGAAATACAAGCACTTGGTAAGTCCTTGGCGGCTACTTACAACCTATTTCGAACTGCGCTTTGAGTGTTTATCAACATCAACTATTATTGTTTCCATCATCGTTGGTCGAAACTAACGAGATGGCTAGTTTCGGGAGGGCTGCGAAGAAGCATCATCTACTCAACCTCTGATACCTCCTTGGAGCTTGCCACAAAGGGGCTTTTGTCTCAATCCAACAGCGATCTGTTGCAATTGTGTGTAACCTCGAATTCTCACTGCAGGGTCAGCAGCGAGCTTCATACCTATCTTCCACCTGAAGATATGGAGACTAAAGGTTCATTGAACGGGCCAAGGATACCACGGAATAAGTCTCCTTTTTCGGTCCTCGGAGTATTCCTAGGACACTTTGTGTTTTTGTCAACCAACAACCTACTCAATGAATCGCAAATCAACAGAGTCTGTGACTGGATTGTTGATAAATGTGGTGCTAATATCCTCCTGTTTCTGTGTCGGCCGGGGTCACTCTCAAGGGAGGTTTTCGCAAGAAAGGTCCTCTGCAGCGCAGTTGAGTTCGGAAACATGTGCCTTGCTAGCAGGATAATCCAATGCGGGGCCCATTTACGGGATGTTCCTTCTCAGAGTCAACGTTGGGCTGAACACCTCTCAACGGCTGTGCTCAAAGGGCACGAGGCTATGGTTGAGCTACTGTGTAAAGCTGGGGTCCCACCTAAGGTCGAGAATCGCTGGCCATACATTAAGTGCCAATCCTGCCTTCCGATTCTACATACACTCCTCAAATATGGTGCCGATCCAGAGAGCTTCGTCACGGGGGAGAAGCCTGGGTTCCCTCTGATTGATGCAGCAAGCAATGGTAGCCTAGGGGCCGTGAAGCTACTTCTAAATGCAGGAGCTAGAGTTGACCTTTACCTTCCTAGGCATTGTGGAACGGCTTTGCAAGCCGCAGCTTCGCAGGGTCACTTAGAGGTGGCCAAATATCTCGTCCAATCTGGAGCGGACGTCAACGTTCCTAGTGTTGAACTTCTCCGGCATCATCGATGGTCTATATTCTTCAACAGTAACGAAATGGTAGCTTGTCAAACTCCAGTTCAGCTTGCTACTAAAGTGAACAATCTCGCTCTTCTTCAAATTTTGCTGGAGCATGGAGCATCTGCGATGGCTTGCCCAGTCTCCACATGTCCTGACTTTGAAGCCATTTGCTGCTACCAAGCCACTGACTTCAACCGGCATAGACCACTATATTATACACCTGTATATGACAGTGAGTGCATGGTACATACTGCCCTACAATACGGAGTTTTACGTCGAAATTTGAACATCGTCGCACTTTTGCTGTTCATAGGAGTTGCTCCTGATTCCCGGGTAGCACCAGGTGTAGGTGACACACCCTTACAGATGTCAGCAAGGTTGGGTAACCTTGAATTAGTTCAACTCCTTCTGAGCAGCGGTGCTGATGTCAAGGCCTCCCCTGCGGCTTTCAATGGCCGAACTGCAATTCAAGGGGCAGCGGAAAGTGGAAACTGGAAGATTTTATCAATGCTTCAAGGCGCAGGAGCGCAAATCAATGCCCCAGCAGGAGCGAAGCTGGGAATGACTGCGTTGCAGGCCGCCTGTTTGAACGGCCATTCTCTGATGGCGGGGTTCTTGCTTGCTCACCGGGCGAATTTAAACGCGGCCCCGTCGCCGCTGGCAGGACTCACACCCATTCAAGCTGCATCTGTGCATGGCGATATCGGACTAGTGAGAGAATTGATTAGCCTTGGAGCAGATGCCAACGCCCCAGCAACTGAGATGGGATCAACTGCTCTTGTGGTTGCTGTAAAGCATAAGTCTCTCCCGCTTCTCGAGATACTCGTGCAACATGGTGCAAACGTCAATCTGACTGGGGACTGTGGTCTCAGGTCTCCTCTAAGAGAGGCTGCCCGTGTGAACTGGTTGAAGGGAGTTGAGTTCCTCTTGAAACACGGAGCGAATGTTGATGACACTCCTTTTGAGGTACTACAATCGGATGAATGTGCGGATTTCGATCAGGAGCTGCTGAGCCCTCTGGGCTGGGCTATCTCCAATTGCGCTGAGGAGATGATAAATTTACTGGTGCAACATGGTGCGGATGTTCTTGCACCTGTTGCATTTAAAGGAGATGCGTCTCGAAACGCCCTGATATATGCAATATTGTACGGGCCAGATATGGATATCATTGACTTGCTTCTTGAAAATGTTCAGGACTTAGAAAATTATCCTGGGTGGGAAGATGCGCTAAAAACTGTTTTCGAAAACACGGAAGGCGTTGAACTTGAAGTTTGTGAACTGATAGTTGAGAAAACAAGCTCACTGCCCTTGCCTCTTCGTTACAAGGTGATCCAAAATGGATGGGATGCATTACCTACGTCGGGCATCCATGAAGACGAAGAAAATTTGCTAGGCGTTATTAAGCTTCTCATAAAATCAGGGGCAGATTTGGATTCTCGCTCCAAGGATGGAAGCACTCTCCTTCAACGGATAGCTGGTGAGGGGTACCATCAACCCTGCTGTTTTCTGGTCGGCCGTGGTGCTGACATTAACACCCATGCGGCTCAATCATATGGAACAGCTCTTCAAGAGGCCATCAAGAACAATGACGTGAAGATAGCCGATCTCTTACTGGAACATGGGGCAGATGTGAATTCACCAGCGCTCAACCGGGGTGTTACTCCGCTTCAAGCGGCTTCCATCAATGGGATGCTCGAGATGACCGTACGGCTACTTGAATGCGGGGCAGATGTCTCTGCGCCAGCTGCACCAGAGCAGGGGAGAACGGCAATTGATGGAGCTGCAGAACGCGGTCATTTGGAAATGGTCCAGTTGCTTTTAAACGCATATGGAGAGCAAGAAGCGCTGGGGACAGTATGTAATCAGGCGGCAGATTATGCGGAAAAGGAAGGTCACTGTGAACTTGCCCATTGGTTACGAGCGTATTCCCCTGCTTGATTGCCGTACATAATATGAGTCAGTTGTTATGTATAGCGTTCATCAGTTTAGGATAGAAACATTAGAAACAGGGCAATGGGTGCCGCTATGGGCGCCCCGCTTGCCATCGTATGGGATACCATATATAAGTATAAGTCTTAACTAATCAGACTGAGATAGGTAGACCGGGGACGTATAGCTTACTAGATATCAGTGTACTAACAGGAATTGCTTGTATAGCTATGGAAACACACCGGGTTTACCAGCCAATGAAAGCAACAGAACTAAACAGGGATAATGCAAAAATGAGATGAAAAGAGTGTCAATTCCGACGAACTAAACTGATGAACTACTGAACTTCATAGGGGTTGGTATACCCATGAGAATATCAATGGCCCGGGTTTACAAGCCCGAGGGGGCCAAAATAGGCAAAAGTATCCGTAAACCAAAGATGGTTCATCCTCGGCAGCATTTACGTCAAAGGCAAGTCTATCTGCTGTGTATCTCTTTAAGTTCACAACCTAATATAGAGCCCTCCAGGTCTATCGTTATCCGCCCAGGAGATACCATCAATAGGAGCTCGCTGGAAGTGAGGCCACAAGATGATCAAGCGCGATTTGCTCATGAGCCGGTTGGGACTGGAACATTACGTGATTTTCGGTATGCCGTCCAACTGGTTCTATTTCGTATTTTCCCCACATATTATCACATGTCGTTTATCAGTATCTTCTTGATATCCCATGCTAACTCACGATCTATAGGGAGGATAAATTCTATCGTGGGGGAACGTTGATAGTGGCACACGAAAGTGATGATGATAATCCCCCGATCCCTGTGATTTATGACCCTTATATAACAGTGCGCAGTGGCGTAAAGAGTTTACAGAGGGATTCCACGCTTGTGAGGGCCCGCGAGGGAAGCCTCTGAGCCGCTCGAGCGCCCAAAATATGGTCTCTGTTTATACAGGTAACCAAAAAGGTAATTTTTAGCTCTTCCGAAACCCAAGGTGTCTTTAACAAGTCAATAGGTTTCCCGGCACCCATGTTAGGGTCGTATGATGCAACGGGGAAATGTCTGTTCCAATCGCTTTTCTCGATTGGGTGCGTACGGGTACGGGAGTATTACCACTCACTCTGCCTCTGGAGTCAATTGGAACGAGACCAACTGGGGGTCACTTTAGTCACAGTGCTTTAAGAGGAACCTTGGAAGATATTCACCAAGTGAGACCAATTCGTGCCCAATCAGGTTCACACTGCCAGTTCGCCCTCGTGAACCAACCTCTTCGCCGCATAGCTTACAGTACAAACCAAGATCAGCCGTTATCTTGCGTGCGTGGCATGACATGGAATGGTCCGAGAACCTTAAACAGAATGTCCGGTCTCTTGTGATGGGGCTGTCGTTACACTCTGGTGGCCATGGGGCGTGTGTCAAGGGAATTATTGCATCAGATGCATATCATACAAATCCAACAAGGAATCGGTTTAGTTTCTGAAATGACGCCTCCCTCGCTTGCTCTCTAGCATGAGCTTAAAGCCGTCCACGTGCCCCAGCCTCTTTATCTTGACGGTAAATGGACATCGAAGGAGATCGGCCCAATCATGAACCCAGGTGAACCTGATAAGATCAATGGTGGACCTGACAGCTTCTGGAACTGGGACCATCTATGGGATCACATTCTCTATCGGTTAACGTACATGTTTACAACACAAACTGCGGAGGATTTCTATCGGAGATGGCTCGGCTACCCGCTCGATCTTAATCAATATACCGATGGCATCTATGTGAGTCGAGAATCGCTAATTAAGTCTCGTTTCCGCGCTAACCGCTTGTCCTATATTAAGCACCAAGATGGCACCGGTCGGAATTGGTTTGAACCCGACGACTTGGTAAGTTCAGAACTTTCCATAAATGTGAGACACAGGAGGTGATTTGAACCAAGAGCGATGGCTGTTGATTTTTCCTAGCGGGAGGACTTGTATGGACCACTCTGCTTTCCATATATGTTACTTCATACCATAAAAAACATGGAGGAGAAGAAGGGAGAAGCCATGGCAGTCCTGTTTAACATTCCTTCACGATGCATGCATTTGTTAAATTCGATGATATCCACTTGATTTCATACTAATCATGAACGTCTAGTGTCTCTACGCTAGCTACCAGCCACGCGTCTTGGGGGAACATAATGCGGAGGAAGATGAAATCCGGAGATAACAAGAAAAAGCAAGACAGATACGCTTTCTGCGACTCCAGTAAGCCCCACTGGGATTGGCATTGCCATTGGGGGCGAGGTCGGCTCAACCCCCATAATATGGAGTAGATATTGGCTACGCCTCAAAGGTTGTAAGAAAAGAGTAAGTGGCTGGAATATCACCCAAGGATCTTCAATCAAGAGAGTGGGGCCGTGTAGAGAGCATACGTTGTGGGAACGGCAAATCAAACTGGGCCGAGGAGGCTCCAAACGGTATATTAAATGTTAACTGTTCTCGGGTACTCCATACAACAACTGCTGTCCGGATATTACTCCGTTGGAATTGTAGTGCTTATCTAGAGAGAGATAGTGTCTTGGCTGTCAAAGCCAACTGGACGGAGTTACACACGGGTAGAGGACGCGCGGATGTGGGGATCAGTAACTCTTGGCATTGGCACGGTTGTACTCTTGTACTCTTGTACTCTTGTACTTGGTACACTACTTTGGGAGTTTAGAGAATCATCTCATTTGATAGCATTGGAATGAAAGGAATTGTCATAGAATCTATATTCCTTTTATACTGTGCCTTTATCAACTCGTACCTGAATATCATATCCAATAAATTACGGTGGGACCTGAGTCCTGCATATACGAGGTCACGTGACTCCCGCCAAATGGACCCCTTCAACGTCATCGATCGTCTTTTCAGACCCCTTAGAGAATTGGCCCTGCCCATTTTCCATGGAACCATGATCGTCCCTTGACCCTTGTCTTTTTTTTCTTTTCAATTTCTTTCTCTTCTTCCTCATACTCATACTCTTTCTCTTCTTCAACCCTGTCCAAACCACCTGCGCATATTTATACACTTTCATCCGCCTACCGTGGGCCCTTGATTGTGTTCTAGACCAAATTCTTGTTCTCCGCGATGCGGTAGAACCCGACACAATCTCACAACACAAAATATGATATTCGGCGCCCGGGATGGGCCCGTTCCAGGGGCATCATGGGCCTGGAAAAAGGTGCTGCGGTTTGGAGTTGGCTTTTTGTTCGTGGTAGGGTTTGCCGCCGTACTATGGCCCTCGGTCGAGCAAGTGAAGCTGCCGCTGCAGACGACTGCCAACGTCACCCTCGCCCCCGATATCTCGTGCGATGTCGATCACGATAAATTGGCATCCATGAATGTTCTCAAAGTCGCCCAATACACTCGTCGAGAGATCGTACTCGATATGACGGATGAACCAGTACCGTACACACAGTGGCTCGAACAGCCACTCTTGGAAGAGCCGAGGGGAACCGAGGGAGCAGCGGATGGGTGCTCAATTCCAGCACCAGTGTCCTTGCGGGTTCCTCAGCCGCCGAAATTGGCGGACGCATCACACATCGATTTTGGAGTCGCGACCAGCGTCGAGAGATTGAACGAGTCTCTGGATGCGTTCGCGCACTGGGCTGGATACTCGCGCACTCGTATTTTCGCGCTGATCGAACCGGATCGCTCGGAATCCGGAATCCGGGATGTCAAGGCCAAGGCTGACGCTCTGGGGATTAACCTCCACGTCACAGAGTCGGACGATGACTACCTCAACCGATACTTCGCACTTATCCCTCTTTTGAAGGAAAATTCCCGAGAAACAACCCAATGGGGCTGTATCATTGACGATGACACATTCTTCCTGTCGATGCCCAGACTAGTGGATGCGCTGGCTAAATACGACCACACCACCTCCATGTATATTGGCGGATTGTCAGAGTCTATCCCGCAGATTGCGTCATTCGGAATTATTGGATTTGGAGGCGCGGGCGTCTTTTTATCGAAACCCCTCTTGGCGGAAATTACCAACGTATACGACAAGTGCTCAGCAATGGATTTCACAGGTGATCGCCGCATCGCCATCTGCATCTACCGCTACACCCAAACCCGGCTGACGGTAGACCACCGTCTGCGGCAGCTGGACCTGATGCACGACGCCTCTGGATTCTTCGAGTCCGGCCGCGAGCCCCCGCTCACGGTGCACCACTGGAAGTCCTGGTTCCACGCCGACATGCCGAAGCTAGCCGTGGTCTCCGAGTTATGCGGCGACACCTGTCTCCTCCGCAAATGGCACTTCGGCGACGGCTGGATCCTAACGAACGGATTCTCAGTCATCAAGTATCACGCCGACCCGGATCAGGACGATCTCGCCATGGAGCAGACCTGGGCTCCCCACAATGGCGCCGATGACGAATCTTACCTGCACGAATTGGGTCCCCTCCGCCGCAAGGATGAACACAAACAGACCTTCCAGTTACAGGGTGCCGTCCACGAGCAGAACGACCGTGTCACTCAGTGGTACATCATGCGCGATGACAGGAACGGTGATCAAATCTTGGAGCTGTCATGGCGCAAGAGATAAATATGAATTTGTTTTGGCTTGTACATGTACGGAACGTGTACGGGCTCCTTTATATGGTCTGCGGGCCCCGGCGGTCTGCTGGATCAATAAGCCCACTTTCAGGCGCAAGGTTAAAGGAATACCTCTTTGCATGGAGTTTCGTTTCGTTGTTTATAGATGATAGATACACCTTCGGTCTACTCTAATAAGTTAAATAATGTGATATGGATTGTTTTGGGGGGGTTTTCTTTTGTGTTTTAAAATTGTAGCCGTTGAACATATAGTTCTGGGGAAGGATCTTCTCGAGTACTCTGTAGGCTGCTTGCGTCCTTGACAGGTCTCGAGCGACTGTTCTAGTTTTGGTTCGGACAATGGCCTTATCGTCCATCAAATGGTTAGGGCCTTTTTTTAATACAGGACTGGACACGGGTATCTACCAAAGTATACATTTAAATATCCGTGGAGGACAGTGATGATAAAGCCAAGAGCAAGGAAAAGGAAGGGGAACAGGTGGGTAAGACCCGCCTCTCTACCATGGCAAGCAAGGCCGTCAAAGTTCTGGAGGCCATAGCTCACCGATAGACATTATGTTGTACCATGGAACCGATCAATATCCCCCTTTCTTATTCCATGTGGATATGTATGCATATTTCTTGGTCTTTTGTGACTAGCGGATAGACAGGTGCCAAACATGTGGTTTGTTGTTCTGTGTGTTCTCTACGGCAGTATTTAAAATATATATATCTTCAAGAACTGGTTTTCCAATCATGATCACTAGTGGCTTGTTAACCTATTTTAAACCCACAACTATAATGTTAGAACCAAACTAAGCACCAAAGATACCATATATAATATATATATATATATGCCAGCTGGGAGCTACAAAATCGAGAAAAAAATAAAATACTTGCTGATGTACGCTTAAAATCCGCGAATACTCGGGGTGTTATCGGAGAAAATAACGGCTCGTAGTAATACTTTACTAAGGGAGATACTCCGTATATCGTAGTGACCTAGTGAAGATCCTATGGAACCCCCTGAAGATCGATCGGCGTTGAATGTCGCGGATGTGAGACCAAGTGGAGTAAACAGTAAGCAGTAGACAGTAAACAGTTAGGAGCGGTACATAGTATATATTTTGAGAGAGCGGGAAGGACGGAGACTATTGACAGTGACCCGGCAACCTGTACTAAGTTCCGTCAAACGGAGCCAGATACGCAATTTTGGGTCTTCGACAGCCAAGACTAGAATACGAGATGGGAGTGTAAAGAAGTGCTGTTTCAGTCTACATTGGTATTTTATGTCCAACATATTCCCTTCATATCGAGTGGCGTCCAAGTGGAGCATGAGGCATGGTGCAACGCAATGCTTCAGGGTCATGTGCATTAGCTTCTACGCCACGTGTTTGGTACCGAGTATATTTGGGTGTTACCTAGGGATATTAGCACGGTTTCTGCAGTTGGACTCGCGCAGCAAGCTGAGACGAGCTAGTGTTGACTTATCTGTGACTATTTACCTTGGTATGATATGTTAGGCACATCAGTGGGCCAGTGCTCACTTTCCCCAGGAGGAGTTGTGACATCAGAGTGGAATCTGCGACAGCAGACACAGAAAAATGGGTCTTTCGGTTTTTTTTTTTTTTGGTCATAGCGTCAGCGGCTGTCCCTGGATTTTGTGGATATTTGTTTTTCCTGGTACATATATCAGGTTACGTAGGCTGTACAAAATAGGGTGTGTCTGAATTTCCAAGGTCAATAGGTTACCTCTAAGGGCCTCGGGGAGAGGATAATTCCACAATTCTACCTAATTTGTCAGAAACCAACCTTGCAGCCATAAAACACCTCCAAAACTGACCTGTAGCAGGACATGCTCCATCCCAGGGGCCTCCAGGCTGAAGGAAATGTTCTACTAATAGAAATATGGATACTAGCGCAAACATGATACACCAAGACACGTCTCAGCCACAACCATGTGGGAATCGCCCCGTGTCCAGCCGTCCAATGTGCATCGGTCTGACCCGCCTTAGTTCAATTTTGTGTTTTATTGGCGATTGCTCAAAATCCAGGGAAATGGTTAACTATAATAAATCAGCTTGCCGGTCATTGGTTCATCAAATCCCTGAAATGCCAGCGTACTGTCTATTCGGCTTTACACGGATCTGCATGGTGTTTATAAAGTATTGTAGAGGGGAGATAATCTCCGCAACTCCCCGCAGGATCTGAGTTGAGACCAAACTGGCAGGTACAGTATGCAGGATAATGGGTGTCGTCATTTTCGTCACAATTTCCAGGGATGCGTGTTAGCTTGGTGAGTGGCTGAGAACGGTAGGCGTGTGTGTGAGAGAGTGCGTGAGTGTGAGAGGATAGATGATCATGCCAATGAAGAGAAAATAGCCCTGGAAAGTCACCTGGGCACCATATGACTAGACCAGTCATCCTTGTGCCCAACCCCCCCTTTTTTTATGTTTTATTTTATTTTACCTCTAGGCAGATACATCCTGGGCAGTGTTTAACTATTTCTTTCTTTCTTTTTTTTTTCTCTCACATTAATCCCTCGATGTGAAGGGTATAGTGCACAGGCTCAGGGAGGATCTACTGGTAAGGCTCCGAACCGTGCGCAGCATGGGGCGCATGTCTTTTTTTGTTCTTCCTACGGCTTCTACGGCTTCCACGGATGTTCCAAAATCCTTCTGGCGGCCTTCTGGAAGGTAAGGAGAAGGCTTGGCGGAGCCATCCGTGCCGTCTTTTGTGATAGAGTGGGTTTCCTAGAGGCTGAAGGCAGCCGGTGCCCTCTAGTGCCCCCGGAAGGGAAAAAGGGGCGGATGAGATGGGTGTAATTACCGATGCACACCGGATTAGCTCCACTGCAGGATCGTCAGAGCCTAGGTAATAAGACAAGATGGGAGGATGGTGAGAATAGAAGGTCGAAAGTGAGTTCGTACTACCAATCAGAGTAAACAGTGTAACCCATATATGATGCGTGAGGTACGCAGTACAGGCTACCATAATGATAGCGAAAACCTTCTAGAAGGTAACTCCCGATTTTGCGATGTATTCGGTTAACGATGGTCGGGATGGACTATCGAGGTAATCTCCAAATATAAAAATAAGTATAATCATTCCATGTGTCGCACCATGAGAAACCTGCATGTCATGGTTGATCACCGAAATCTCCCGTTTCGATTTTTTTGGGCTTTAATTTTTACTTCTTTTTTACTTCTTTGTTTTCATCGCAAAATCCGGCAGATGGAAAATGGTATATTTTCTTTTTAGCTTCAGGGGTTGTAGTTCAAGCTTCCCCCCCCCTTTTCATACTGTGTATGGGACTTTATTAACGCCTTCCATATATTAGTTCTCTATTAATTCGATCCTATCCTTAATTTGGGTCTTGGTCTGGGGAATAAACGTCAGATTTACAGGGTTTATCCCGAGAGAAATTTCAGGAGGCTATATCGAGAATAATAAGGAAATTGTTCGGATCGGCCTTTCGTATCCATTTTCGCACGGGGGGAAGGGCACGTTGTGGATCCTTCTGGTGCGGCCAAGTTTCCTTCTAGCGGGCTTCGCTGGGTCCGACTAGGGAGAACTAGCCCTTCTAGAAAGGGACTTGAGTTTAGGAGTCTTAGGTCTTGGGATACAATAGGAGTATAATGAAATAGGTATATGAAAGTGCAATATATCAGGGAGATTCGAAATTTGGATATGATGCTTGAAATATTAAATAAAAAAACTAAATAAAATATGATCCAAAACAACCAAAAACCAAAACCAACGAAAGAAAAAAGAAGTAAATAAATGATGTACAAAGATGCAGACAGTGGCACCTACCACACCTAAATCACCTAAATCACTTAAATCACTTAAATCACTTAAATCACCTAAATCACCTAAATATATGTAATAATCATATTTTCTATTTCTCCCCCTCCCCCCCCCCTTCTCATCTTCCACCTTTTAACCCTTCGCTTTCCTTTCTTTTTTTCAATCTTCGATCCTCATCTTTGTCTATCCCTTCTCCTCTTACCCCCTCCACTTAACCGGTCTGCGCGAATTCCTACCAAATTCCCTCGAACCTCTTTTATTTGGATTCTTTACTTTTACTATAATATCTTGAAACCTCGAGCTTCCTAAAGGTGTGTTTTCGCTTCACTCCTTACCTTCACCGCGATTTGTCAGTGATGACGCATCTCGCCCATTCACCTTGGCTGCCCAACCCTCTCTGTTTGCGCTGTTATCTTGGGTTTCATGAACACGGACAATTTCCCCATCTGTGCTCGTCTGGTCTTTTTCGTTTTCCTGGAACTCCCACCCCCACCGAGGCGCACAGGCAACAAGATAACGAGCTTACGGCACGGTGGAAAGACCTCGGAATCGGAATCATCGTGGTCTTTGATTTCATGCTGACAATCGACTTTTTTTCCCCCTATAGAAACCTTGATAGGGATAGTAGACCTATAGACCTATCTTCCAACCTTCGCCGATCACGCGTTCCGCCTTTAGCCGACCACAACATTATTTCCCGAGCTGGGCTTTTTGGCAGAAAGCCCATCGTTTCGATACCTCTTACGCAACCTTGCATTCCACTGCAGAAAAGTGGAGAATCTACCCCGTCCCATTCTTCGTTGAGGGACTGTCCAAGACACTACGTGTACTACAGGTTCACGCAGGGTGAGTGTCTAGTCGTCTCCCCACGAGTTGCGCGCTCGCGGAGTCTTTGCAGAGCCGAGCTCGTTTTACTACCGAAAACTGGTTCTGACTATTTCGTGACTTGCAGAGCTTGCTAGTTGGGACCCGAATCTCCCTCCCAACGACCCGCTACCCTTCATATCACCCAGTTCTTACGCGTAAAGGACTTCGAATCCAATAAGTTATCGGACTTCGTCGTATACTCGTGGAAGGCCTGCCGAAGGACGTCTTCGAAAGCAGTCCTTGACCGCGGTCCCTTGGCTACTTGCTGGGTCGGGTCATGGACTTCACGACCATCCTGAACAGGAAAAACTCCGCTGCTGCCGCCGCCGCCGCCGAAGCGCAGTTACAACAACAGTACTTCCAACAGAGTACACAGTTACACACCGGAGCTTCGCCCACCATGAAGAGCGAATCAGGTGGCTCGGACAACCCTGTCAACGCATACCCTCCCCACGGTCCTCCGCCCATGCAAATGGATGGCGGACTTGCCGATTCCTTCTATTATGCACAACCCACGGGTTCAACCCCTCGAAACATGGCCTATGCCCCTGCGGGATACGCTGGCGATCCCCAGATGCAGCAGGAACCTGTCCCACAGGGAAGAGCTGGAATTGAACCACCACCAAAGACTTTCCACTGCTCAACCTGTAACAAGGGCTTCGCACGGCGCAGTGACCTTGCTCGACATGGTATGTATATCTAGAAGTTTCAGAGATTCCACCACTGACAATATATTAGAGCGTATCCACACCGGAGTTAGACCCCATGCTTGCGAGTGGCCAGGGTGTGGAAAGCAGTTCATCCAACGCTCGGCCTTGACAGTACATTCCCGTGTACACACCGGAGAGAAGCCTCATATGTGTGAGAGGTGTGGCAAGGTGTGTATCTTTCCTCTTTTCATTCTGGCTATACCTAACATTTCTTCAGCCCTTTAGCGACTCGTCTTCGCTGGCCAGGCATCGCCGCATTCACTCTGGCAAGCGACCCTACAAATGCCCGTATGCCAACTGTCAGAAGACCTTCACGCGCCGTACGACGTTGACGCGCCACCAAAATCATCACACTGGGACCATCGAAGAAGCCGCTGCTGAAACAGAGGCCCAGTTGCGGCAAAATAAGGATCGTGGACGTCCTGGCGAGGGAATGTTTTCCGAGCACGCTTCCATCCATTCTACACCGTCACCCGCGCAACATCCGTCCATGTCGCCTGGTGGTGAGCTCCCGCCACTGAACATGCACCACTCGGCCGGCGACTACTACATGGGCACCGGTCCTATTCCGCCTCATGTGCGTGGGGATTTCCCCCAAGGCAGCCCTCGGGCTTCCCCAACTGCAACTTCTCCTTCGCTGTCCAGCTATGGCGGTGCGCCCCACCCCCGGCCATCTATGACCTCGCATCCCTACGCTCCGCCTCAACCTCTTGAGCCCCCGGCCAACAGTGATCACCGTCCCAATAGCGTGAACGGCAGTCCACACATGACTAGTCTTGGGTGGGCCTCGCCGTCTCACGGTAGCATGCCATCGCCCGGATCGGCCAACGACTTCACTTACCCTGAGCCCACTGGCCCCGCGTACCCGACATCGATGCCGCCGCACATGTACTTCCCCAACTCTACCATTCGTCGGCCTACCAGCACCGAGCCGGAGAACTACGAAATGAAGCCCCGGGGTGACCACACATGGTCCACGGCCGTCTGATGCGATTCACAGCCCATACTTGGAATTGTCTCGCAACAGCTTTGAATTTTCCATTATTTCCTTTGTCTAATAGGTTCATTGCATAAGCCCCTTGATTCCCACGAGAGAATTCGTCTATGCCTCTCGATTGATTTCTTATTTCCTTTGTTTTTCATGCATTTTCTTATCCGTTTGTACTTATATTGATGGGAAACCAGCGCACTGGAAGGAGTCGGACGGTCTGATCGTGTTTCCAAATCTGCGATTTATTGTTTTGTTTCAAGATGTCATCTCGCTTTTGCATCACCCCCATTTTCTTTTGTTAAATGCTTGCGGATGACATTACCGAGACACGATCAGATGATGAACTGCACCCAGGGAATAAATAGAGGGTTGGACTAGGGATTGCCTTGGGTATGGATGGGTTCGGGAAAGGGTCTGGTTTTGTTTTTAAGGAGACTCCTGATTGTGGTGTCTGGTTGGGATTTAGTTCGTGTCTATTTCGCTGTTTTTCTCTTATTGTTTCATACATCTAATTATTGTATTGCCTTTTTTTTTTTGTTACCTCTTGACTGTCATTTCCGGTATCCTTTGCTTTTTTTTCTTTCGCTTTCGTCTTTCGAATGAGGTCGTCTACTGGTGTTTGTATGACTGTATGATAGAACGATGATAATAGACAGTTATTGAATTCGTGTTTCTTGTCAGATCGAATGATACGTAGATAGTATCTTCCTACAAGATGCCCCACGAATACGTACATATGTTCCACTATGGACCGGATTGCATAGGGCCACCTTAGTCTTGCTACAACCCTTAGTTCGGGTTTTCTATTGGCGTTGTAGCTGCATCGCAATAAGCCCTAAGAGGCTGTGTTCATCTAAGAATTCATAGATACATCTATCGGCGCGGGTTCGAATGCACGTTGCAAGAGCTCGAGCATCGACCTGACAAGTATCGAATCAAAGGCGTATCAAACCAGATATTCAAGATGGAGAAAGATGGACTTCATGGGACCAGGGGATACCCTGATGGTGCGAAGAGTGAAAGACTTCATACGACACTCGAGGTAGATAACGATATGAACGCCATGCGTCCTTCGCTTAGATAGGAACACATGGCGAAGAATAATCTCCACCTGCTTTGCAACGTGTTTAAAGCTGTTGCCCAAACCTTTGTTCCAGCCGACATGGAAGTCGTGCGTTGGAAGAAGCTTTGGGGTTGACAAGTAGGAAAATGCGAACCACGAAACGCCATCAAAGAGCATGAAGCGCTCTTTTACGAGTCAATGACAGATCGAGTTTGAAAGACTAATAAGTTAGTGTTGTATCTTTGGAGAAGGTGATGCTATCCCCTTTCACAGAAAGACAGTTTATTCCTCTTTAATCATCTTACTACTACCTCCAAAGAGCCCGAAGTTGATACAGACCGACAAATTTCCGATCACTTGTTAGCTATCTTAGATCTGCCGGGAGCCACCAAACTGCATCCCGCAAAGCTACTGACAGAGGCAGTATGGTAAGTATACGATATCCAGGCATTTAACTTACAATGCAGTCTAATATTACCTAGGTATTAAAAAGAGCATGGACGAACGAAGCAATTTGATGATTTCTTCGAAACTGCTAGCAGTATCTGCGAGTCCTCAACACATCCGGATTAGGATATCCTGCTTGCAGGTATCCACTTCTACCTAGGAGCTATAGCCATAGATGCGAGCAATTTTGATACAAGCCGTATTAACAAGGAATGTCTTTTCAATTATACCTCGCCTACGCAGAGCGAGGGATCTCACAAATTCACGACAGACGGTATGCGGAAGGGGAGGTCGATCTTAAGGAGACACTGCGGATAGAGAGAAAGCTTTGGGAAATAATGATAGGGAAGATGCCCGGACCGGACTGATTCTGTATGCTATTAGCAACCTCCTGGCACCACCATAGAGCATGGCACCACCACAGAGCATGGCACCACATAATGTGAAACGGTGGGTGAGAGGGGCCTTCACACTGCAAATACCACCCATAAGGTTGTCGAGCACCTGATTCGCTCGGGTGGCAGGGAGAGGTAATGTAGGTGCTACCATTTAACTAGGTCGTTGAACACCTTTTTGACTTCTCTTAGTAATATGACCAACAGCCCGCGGGCACACTGGGGTTGATCCGAATGCACATAGGAACGAGATCGCTCGCATTACTTTCCTCAAGCAAAAGTTGGTTTTGGTTATGGGCAAGATGCAGAAGGCTTCTATCGCTTGAGGAGCATTTTCTGCTGTACAAGAGCTTCCATGGTCTGTTTCTCTGTTACATCATATATCTCACACCACGTACACTATGGTTAAGATGAATCTGGGGTTGATTGACATGGGTAAGTGCATGGCGTACAGCGAAGAGTTCGTGCTGTTTATTTATACTCTATATGGACGGATTCTTTGGGCTTGACATAATATACTATATGCGGACAGGTTACTTGGAGATCTATTGTCTACTCAGATCTAAGATCAAAAACTTGAATGATCAAGTCAAATCGATGGCTCTACCAGTCGGCAACTTTGTCCAGCAACATCATCGGTCACGTTGCTATACACCAAAAGAAGCCATAAAGTAAGATTTTGAATAATGGACAATGTCTCACATCAAAGCCAATTTAATTCCAGTTTATCGAACTCCTCGTGTTGACCCTCGTATTCATGTGGCGTTGGGAGAACATTGACCGCGGTAGAGATGGAAAGTCTGGGGGTAGTGGCAAATGACCTAAACTTGAAACATAACTCACAACTAGTGTATAACTATAGCTTCGTATCAAGTCATCTGGTCGTGTGTTCCAAGGTTTCCTCGAAAGTTGATGCTTTAGGTAGTTCCGTGTCTTAGTGTGTGGTGTATATATAGACACCGATAGAAGTGCTTTACTCCCAATTTCTTCAATTAACCGACCACACTTTGTTCTCACACCTAAGATTGAAACACCGAGAAACACTGAGACTAGGAATATGTATATCCATAGAGCCCTCGGCCTTGTCCTCACCCACCTTGCCCTGAGCGGTATGTATTTCAACTAACACTTACATCAAACCCCAACAACCTACTAACCACATCTTCCAACAAACAGAAGCAGCAGCTTGTCCAACCGGAGGATGTGGCACTGCTGATGCCTGCGTCCTTACCGAAACATGCACAACGGCAACCTTTGTCTCACCCTCGACAACAACTATCACAACCTGTGTCCCAACACCCACCTGCGCGGGAGTATACTGTAAGTATCGAGCGACCACAGCTAAACATAAACGTTGAACGTACCTCTAACCAATGCTAGCTTCTTGTGAGTTCGGCAATCCGAATAACCAATGCTGCTCGGGTTACTGTGCTGCTAGCAAATGTCGATCGACGGATGATAATTGGCCAGCTTGTAGGGAGGATAATGGGCCTTGCGTAGTCGATGAACACTGCTGCTATGGGAATCCCTGCGTAAATGGGATCTGTAGCCGAACTTGATGATGCAGGATCGTCATGTATCAGAATGCCTGCAACAATTGTACTTGGAATCAATCATGACTTCGATGTGTGTATTGAATTAAGGGCAGACAGTTTATTTTGGGCTGCATGACCCGGTCGAAGCCTGGAATACCTAATCTATGACTCATGTAATGCTCTCCATGAAATTTGTCTTGACAGACATAACGACGTATGTACTCACATAGCCAACACTTGCTCAGCTCGCTCAGTAAATGCCTTCATAGCAGTTCGCCACAACTCCGGCCCGACACTAATCCTTGCAACGCCCAACGCCCGAATCTCCTTCACTCCCAGAAATCCCTCTCTCAAATTCATCTTCACATTAACCATACCCCCTAGGGCATCAACCAACCTCGTAACCTCCGTGCTCGAAACACCCCGCCCACTAGACCCACCCCAAACAAAAACCGTAGTAGCGCCAGCCTCCAAAAATGCTTTCCCGCGCTCAATAGCCTCCTCAACAGTCCCATTCTCCGTCAGCAACACATCAGTTCTAGCATTGACCACAAAGTCTGGAACCCCGGAGGCCTTTGCCGCCTGAACTGCAACTGCAACTCGGGCCGCAGCCTCATCCACCGACCGCAGCACACCAGTCGCATCCATATCTTCGAGATTACACCCTACAGCGCCTAGCGCGATCACTTGTTTAATAGTATCTGCCAACTCAGAGGCATCACCGTGTCCATCTTGCACATCAACGGTCAGTGGTTTGGTAGGGTTGGTAGCGCGGGCGGAGGCGGCGATTGCGGCTATCGCGGTCAGGTTTTGGGTTTTTGTTAGGGCGTTATCGTCGACGCCGATCGTTGCGGCGATCGCGTAGGACCCCGTTGCGATCGCGGGTGCTGTTGGTAACGAGGCAATTATGGAGGCTGTTGCGGCATCGTAGACGTTGGTTAGGATTAGGGGGTTGCCGGGTTGGTGGAGGGCGCGGAAGTGTTTGGCGATGTCGTTTTGGGTTGGCATTTTGTGTATGTATAGGCTATGGGTTGGATGGATATTTAGTTTGCTAAATATGTTGTACTATGGAGTGCGGAGTACATATAGTCCAATGCAGATTGGAAAAAAAAAGTCCTTGACTCATTGAATACGAGGTCGAAAACAATGACGAGGTTTTCGGAGCCGATAGTTCTGCAGGCTCGGATCTGCGATCGGATTCGAGCAAGGCAGACAATGGGGGTTATTATTTCCCCTGTCTCAGACTAGACAGATGGAGAATTAGCTGAATGGCGCAAGGGATCCACGGTATTCCCCTCTTCGGCTTAGGAAGGAATTACACTTGTCCAGGTTGAGTAGACCATGCAGGACACTGCTTACACTCTTTGTATTGCTTACGGGAACTCCCAATGTAACTTGATCTCATTCAGGTTTGCCACAATTGATTTGAGAGGGGATCGACTTTAATTGACCAGTCCGGCAGCCAATATGGGGACAAGGTACTGCAAAGGAACCAAAAGGGTTAGAAAAAAAATAAAAAATAACGGGTGTAATACAATAATATACACCCCGGAGCCTGATGGCTTGGCCTCCATTACTCCATTAGGATGCATAAATGGACCTTCCATGCAGCTGTGAAACCGAAGATCTAATAAGAGGAATTGTGCTAGGGAATTTATCTACAATATACGGAGATGTCATAGACTTTTGACAACACAGCAAGGTCATCTCATGTTCAAAACCAATAACCTTGGTAAAGGCTAAACTTGCTCTGTAATCAAATTAGGAGCCCGATAACATGTGGTACGAGGAATTGGCCCCGTTTCTCGTTAGCCTATCGAAAGGAGTAAGAGTCCGTAGCAAGTCCACTAGTCCGATGTAGGGCGAAACATTGAACGGTAACACACCTGGGGGACCTTTCCGGGTTGGATATTCCGTGCCTGGGTGCATATGAACGAGGGGCAAAGCCTGTAGCATTCCTCCAGGGTAGAATAACGAGTACCCGGGTGATTTTCATTGGAGAGAGAGAGAATGGAATGTTATTTCCTATGTTTCCCTAGTGTCTTTTCGTTTCAGATGTTCTTTTTATAAACCCATGAAACTATGAAACCATGAAACCACTTAGACCATGACATTCAGATAATTTCCTGTCATCAACAAATACATAGTCAAGGAACCTTTAATCTATATCGAAGTCAAATAAACCCGACCACACCCGCTTCGGTAAACAAAACTGGACTCGGGAAGCCCCGTTACTGATGGGGTCACTCTTTTTTCTCCTCACGGTATTTGTATTGTATTTGTATCCGAGTCTAGATTCTCTAGATTCTGTGCGGTTGTCGGCTGCGCTTAGGTTACGTATGTTGTAGGTCTATCCATGGATGTATCTTATAAGGTATATATGTACATTGGGGGTGTACGTTACAATTATTTTAGGAGAAGTGAAAAAAAAAGAGAGAAAGAAAAAAACAAGGGAAAAAGAAAAATGACATGAACAAGTGACTTACAAATAGATGTAGAACAAAGGGCCCTGGCACAAGAATGACTTTCAATACGGGGACGGTACTAATGTATCGTAGTCAAGAGGAACGAGAGAAAGTCTATGTATAGGATCTGTATACATAGAAAGAACACATCATTTACGATTATATAGTAATTTCTATTCAATATCTCTTGAATATCATATATTATAAGAACATTGGAAGTACATATAGAATGTACTAGTAGGTAACGACTTATAGGAGTCAATACATTGAAATTACTATAATTAATTAAAAAAAAAAAAAGAAAAAAAAAAAGAAAAGAAAATACCGATTGGGAATCCCCTGTAATTTTACAAGGAATCGCCGTCAGCTCTCCCCACTCTCCGACGCTTCGCCTTGCTCTCTCAGCCTTTCTGCCTTTCCTCCTCATCTTTTGTCTCTCACACTTCTTACCATTCGCATCTTACATTCTACATTGCCTTCTCTATATCCATATCTCTAACGATCTTATGGCGTATGGTTTTACCTCACTCCCTCGTGCAGTTGGCCGCCTGACCTGCAGCTCTCACGCTGCCATCCGACCTTGCTCACAACCTCGAATCCCTCTCTCTTCCTCCCGACCTTGACCTTCTCCTCAACTCCCATAATGTCGACCGGTCTGAATATTCCCCAGACCGGGCTGTCTCTCCACCTCGGAGATCAGTCCGGTGATCTTTCTGTCAAGCCAAATCAGATCATGAGGTTGAATTTGGTGCAAAGCACCCTCGATGATCTGATTCAGAGCCTACGGAAGGATCAACCGGCACGACTCCGGCTGGGAAAACACCCTACACTTCACTACGGGGGCAAATCTCAAATGTTCCATGCATATCCCGAAACACATCGATCTGAGATCTACCATAGCTCATCCGATAAAGAGACACTGTATTTCACAGGGGTTTTAAGTCATAGTCTGGAAGTTGAAAAGGCTAAAAATGCTACCGCGGCCACTGATCAGGCGCTGGCAGATTTAGAAGAAAAATTAAATGCTCATGAGAGGGGGAAGGAGTCCAAGAAGACTCACATAATCTCACACCCGGATGAGCTAAAGGCTCTGCGAGGCAGCAAGTCAGGCTACAAAGGTCCCACCACCAAAGTCGAGCTTGAGAAAGATCGTTTCCTCAAGACTGCTGCCAATCGTTCTCTCACTGCAAGTCCTATCTTGGGTGCTCCCAAGTCTCCTCTCGCAATGACTCCAACATCTGCTCCAATGATGGAGAACAAAGATCGTGTGAGGCTTGAAGCCCTCAAGGTTCCCTTCATTCACCTTCTCGCCGTCCGTGCCGTATCGGCCAAGTTCCTTGCCCGCCAAACCCGCACCACTGTCGAAGACTGTATCGCCCTCGGCGAGAAATTCGGCGTCGTGAACCGAATCAACCCCGAGAAGTACAATCTCAAGGACAAAGTCTACAAAGATCTTGATTTGTTTGGCTTCAATTACACCGAGGAGGACCGAAAGGAAGCCATTGAGAATTCAATTTCTGCCTTCGATCGCATGCGCATCTCTCGATCCGACAAACTTTGGCAAACACTTCTTCCTAAGGCTGAACGAGGCAAGGGAAAGTGCCTTTCGCGTTTGAATCTTCGTACTGGCCCGCCCCAGAAACCTGCTGCCCCACCCGCCAAAGCCAACGTGGAGGACTCGGGCAAGGACAACGACACCGACCGCGCCAAGGCATCTGCACCTGCTACTAAGACTACTTCGACCGCCCCAAAGGCTCGTGACAAGGACCCGATCAAGCGACCCACCAAACCCAAGAATACCAACAGCACCCTTACCGGACGGGTTACGAAGAAGACTGGTGGGAAGGCCCCAGTCAAAGTGGACAGCAAGATCAAGTCCGCCGAATTCGTCCACAGTTCGGACGAAGATGACGATACCGACATGCTTGATATTCCTCCTGCCGCCGCCGCTCCCGCGTCTGCGCCTGCGCCCGCACCCACACCCACACCCAAGCAGCAACCGAAGGAACACAAGCGGACTCCATCCTATTCGAAGCCCCCAGCACCGAAAATCAAGGCACCAGCCAAGCCTCGCACCACCGAGACTACTTCAGTCCCATCTGCTCCTGTTCCCAAGGCTAAACCTGAAACATCGAAGCCAAAGCTTGAACCATCCAAACCAGTTACCAAGGTTACAGCTTCCAAGCGTCCTCCCTCTCGACCCTCTACTTCGCCGCAGAAGCCGTCTCCACTCGGCTCCTCTCCTCCTACCAATGTTTCTGATGCTACCAGTAGCAACCGCAGCCGAGCTGACAGTCAGAACCAATCCTCCGGTTCATCCTCATCTTCGCCTCTCATTTCCCAGCTAGCCAAACCCAGCAAAGTTGGCCGTGCAGCCCCTGCTGTTCCCAAACCTGCCAAAGCTACTCCACAGACCAACGGTATCACGAAGACTACCCCCGCTACCACAAACTCATTGAAGCGCAAGGCCGAGTCCGATCAATTGTCCGTGCCCCAGGCA